CCAAAGGTTTCAGATTAGACTTTGCCTATACATGTAGTTGCTCTCTCCGGTCGTTTCGTGCATTTTAGAAATGCAATATATTTCTTGTGCTGTTCAAGCTTTTCGTGTTTACATAAATATATATACCAAACCAAACTCAATTCTGAAAAATGTGAATAATTTGATTGGCTTGGTTTGAAACCAATAGATGTCGCTAAAAAATAAATATTATATCAAGTTTATATTTAATAAAGACTCTTTTATGAGAAAATGAATCGTACAAGTTGTGTATAATTGCAAGCGATTTGTTTTAATTTTGGAGCATTACTCTGTCTTTATGATTTATTGGAAACATTATTGGGTTATGGGATCTTGAGGTCTGTTAACTCTTGTTTCTTTTATAATTGTCGGGCACTCAGTTAAAGCATGTGGCAACCTGCCTCGACCCGCTGACCGCCGCCGTCGCCGCCGCCGCGGGGCCGGTGTGTCGGCGGGCGGGCAGTGCGGTGGTCTCCGGGGCGGCTCATTCATAGAAGCGCCGGCGCGTGGGGCGCCGCGCGCGCGTTCGCTTTGGTGGGTCACGCGAGCCCAAGCAACGTGAGCGGCGGAATGCGCAGCCGGTCGGCCGGCGCCCGTCCCTCAACTCCACGCACTTGGCCTACTCACTTAGCACTCCTCACCAACCACTTGCATCTCAGCCGCTACTCTCCTTCATACTCTCACTCACATATCCTCCTCCTCACCCACCCATTCATACACTATCTTACTCACCCTCTCATCCACTCACCCCCTCATCCGCTCACCCTCTCATCCAACTCCATCACGCCTCTCATCCACTCACCCTCTCATCCACTCACCCTCTCATCCACTCACCCTCTCATCCACTCACCCTCTCATCACTCACCCTCCATCACTCACCCTCTCATTAGTCACCCCTCATCCAGTCACCCTCTATCCACTCGACCCCTCATCCACTCGACCCCTCATCCATCACCCTCTCATCCACTCACCCTCTCATCCACTCACCCTCTCATCCACTCACGCCTCTCATCCACTCGCCCTCTCATCCACTTATCCTCACCCACTTATCCTCACACACACATACTCACCTCATTTGCTCTATATACTCACCCCCTGTCGTCTAGAGCGAAACTCTTTCTGAGTAACTCTATCAGATGTGTTATCATTTTGTCCCTGTTTCTTCATTAAAACCACGGCATTTCAATTGTTCATTAAAACCGCGAAAATGTATTGCCACAAATATAGCCTAAAATAAACACGTTTTTTCTCAGTATTTATAAAATGTCACTTCTGGATTTCACCCATTCAATAATTGCATTCAATAAAATAAAATAATCTGAAAAGAAAAAAGTGATAATACACATATCAGTGATAAACATATTACAAAAATACTCCATGTGTAAAAAAAAACGCAACACGTTTCAAAATATCAATAGCGCAAGAGCACTTCAAGCTTCCAATACAAAAGCAGTAGATGAAAGCCTAAGATTCCGCTTTAGTGTACTTCCTTTCCCCTACAAAAACTCATGTGTTTAATAATAAATCGAGGAATGGGTTGGGAAAACACGAGGAAAACTCTCGTAAATTGCGAAACAAGAGCCAAAAACGAGCAAACTTATTCTACCCAATGAACAGGCAAAAAACAAAAAGATCTACCGTCTAATCTCGCAACTTGCGTCAGGAAAGTTGTTCCGGTCTCCGACTACTCTCAAAATAAACGGCGCCCGATCTACTTGCAAGTGATTTTACGTAATTGATTTGTGGCTCTCTACCCTTGAAAAGTAGCGCCAAGAAAAGGAATTAAATACCAGCAAGAATTAACTACGTCCGCCGAAGATTAATTCGGAGACAGGGATTTTATTGTAACATTTGTTTCCACGGCGCTCTAGAAATAACCTGAGAGAAGTTTTTCGTAGTCGTAAACCGGCTTGATGAATGACAACACATTGTTCACGTCCGCGGTAATGATAAAGTTTTATAACTAGCTCCGCTCTATCTGGGAGGGGTGATTTGTGAATCCTAAATCTTGGGGACCGGTACCAGCAGTGTGTGTGTGTGTGTGTGTGTGTGTGATTGTGTGTGTCCAAGAATAGCGTGGACGCGCCGAATCCTGCGAATGGCTCGTGTCAATTAGCGAGAGCGTATTTATGTGGCGGAGATTTCGCGCGCGGCGGCGGCGGAGGCGGCGGCGTGACCGCTGCAGGCGTCTGTAGCCGACTTCGCGCGGTAAATTAGCGGTTTGCGACGACGCAGCTGGGCTGCAGCGAATAATGAGAGAAGCTGCACCCTCGCCTGAGGCTACTGTTCCACTGAAGCCGAAATGTGGGTCGTTCGCTACCGCGATGACTGCCAGCGAAATTGTATCACTTTGTAGGCTGGGAGGTCGTTGGCTCGACTCCTGAGTGGAGGATTCCCACGACCGTGTTTCCCGAACGCAAATCTGGCCGAACATTGATCCACTCTACCACCGCTACTCTTATTTTGTCCGTATAGAGTAGTGTTTCTCAACCGGATGTGGTAGTTACGTAGCAGATGAAAGAAACAGCAGCTTTGTAGCTGAGAGGTCGTTGGCTCGACTTCTAACTGGAGGGATTGCCACACCGTGTTTCCCGAACGCAAATCTGCCGAACATTGATCCACTCTACCACCGTACTCTATTTTTTTTTCCTATAGAGTAGTGTTTCTCAACCGGATGTGGTAGTGTATTAGCGAGATGAAGAAATAGGAAGCTTGTAGGCTGTGAGTCGTTAGCTCGACTCCTGACGTGGAGGATTCCCACGACCGTGTTTCCCGAACGCCAAATCTGGCCGAACATTGATCCACTCTACCACCGTACTCTTATTTTTTGTCCTATAGAGTAGTGTTTCTCAACCGGATGTGGTAGTTACGAATAGCGAGATGAAGAAACAGGAGCTTTGTAGGCTGGAGGTTGTTGGCTCGACTTCTAAAGGTGGAGGATTTCCACGACCGTGTTTCCAGAACGCAAATCTGGCCGAGCATTGATCCACTCTACACCGATTATTGTTTGTCCTATAGAGTAGTATTTCTCAACCGAATGTGGTAGTGCATGTAGCGAGATGAAGAAACAGAAGCTTTGTAGCTGGAGGTCGTTGGCTCGAGTCCCAACGGTGGAGGATTTTCGATTAAAGGCTTGAGACCGACCGGTCTGGTTCGTTTCCTCCATGAACGCGAACAGAATAACGAAGCAGTACCTTGATCAACGTGCTACGGGACGCGCGTGATCCTTCCCCTTTGCTATCATATTCCTCCCTCCCCGTTTCTAAAAGTAGGGCCGGGCTGATTTCCCATCCCTATACGTTCCACACCCGTAATCTCGAAATAATCACGTTAGCACTGCGCGTTCGGAGATCTCAGGCCAACCCGAATATTTACTACGACATCGATAGTTCACGAATGATAGCCAGAGACCTTGGAGAGAGAGAGAGAGAGAGAGGAAGAAGAGGAGAGAGAGAGAGAGAGAGAGATTGGAATGAGGTAATTGAGGGAGAATGAGAGAGAGGGATAGGAAGAGAAGATGCGTAAAATTTCAGACCTTAGTTCAAGAGCAGGTTTAATAATTAGAATGTGGGACGATCGTCGAATCACTTTATTTCGAAGTAATATTATTCAAGACAACATATTTGTACTTTTTGTTTAAAATCTAAAAATTCGATAAGGAAATTTAGGTTATGTTTCAATATTATTGTAAACATATAATTTCGACACCATGCTGTACTTGACTAAAGGCTGATATAATTTCTGGCGATTATTTTGATATGGTAAAAATAAATTCCTGTATTTTGCCTCCACTTTCTTTATAATCAGCACTCTTAAAGTGTAATCTACGTAAAAAAATTACGTTAGAATCAACGAAAAACCACCCGAGAAGCATGGTCGCGCCAGTGGCGTATGAAACGTAGTCGGGCGCGAAGTTGAATGTGAACGGCGACAGATTCGCGCCAGCTGACGCTGCCGCCGCCGCCGCCGCCGGCGGGTCGGCCGTCAGTCCGGCCGTCCGGCCTCCAGCCGTCCGGACGAGCGGGGCGGCGCGCGCCGTGCCGCATGATGGGAAAACTTTCTCATTTGTCGCGTCGCCTCGAAGAGGAAACCCGGCGGTCAAACACGGCCTCTGCCATCAGCACCCGTCGCCCCTCCGCCCACGCCCCTCACCCCCCACGTCGCCCGGCCCTCTCAAAGGCCTTCCCGCACCGTCGCCTCCGCCCCACACCCGCTTGCCACATCGCCACACCACCGACCACTCCAATTTCAATCTCCCACGTAACCTAGAAATATTTTTCTTTCAAAAAAAATCTCTTCCAGAACGGAGGGCAAAAAATTAGTGCGTCAATCAAAAATTCTGGACGAATAAAATTAAATGTGGTTCAAGGACACGCAATTTAAACTGTAAAATATTCATAAATAAAACATTTTTTGTAATTAGTGAGATTTTATTCTTGATTCAGGGCAGACTATACAGAACCGTATTATTGTTTTGGTACACAAATTCTCCATTTGGAATATCTTCTCCTTCTACAGAAATCTCATTCCAGCTCTCATTTACGAGTCGTGACTCATCGTGGCCAGTGTCTGAAGTTCCTAGTTTCACAATTAGAAGTCGAAAACATTTCAATATTATTGCTAATATTTTCTCCTGGATTTCTTCAGAATGGAAGAATGGTGATTTCAAACTTACTATCATGACTAATAAATAAATTATAAAACAACCATATACATTATTCTATTAAAAAAGGGCACAAAAGAAACGAGCATCCGTCATGTCAACATTCGAAACAAAAAAAGCATGAACAATTATTGTTTTCTTGAAGTTAAAAGAGAAGAGATTTGGTTATACTTCCTAGGATTTGTGTTAATAAAACTGGTTGTGTAGGCAGTTATCCTCCCGAAAAATACCTTTTCCCGCGACACTCCCAAGTTTCCCTCCCTCCTGCGCTCTCCCTCCGAGCAAATGCTACAACCGCGCGTCGTCACCGCCCGCCCCGCAGGCGCCAGCCCGGCCCGAAGGCCGAGCTCATTATCTCCGTCCCATTTGGGCGCTATCAACGGCGTCGAACTGATTTGACCGGCGCGTCGCGGCCGCTGGCGGGCGTGGCGGGGCGTAGCCGCCGCTCGCCCGCCCTCCCGAACGCCCGCCGCGCCCGCGCTCCCCGCCCCGCTCGCCCGCGCCCGCCGCCCGCACCCGCCCCGCCCGCCGCCCTCGCCGCCCGCACCGCCGCCCGCACGCACGCACCGCCCGCACCGCCCGGCCCCCAGCCCCCCCCCAGCCCTCCCCCCAGGCCGGCCCCCATCCCCCCCCCCCACGCCGTCCCCCCAGCCGCCACCCCACCTGCCCGCCGCTCGCCCGCCCGCTCGCGCCGCCCGCTCGCCGCCGCCCCCGCCCCTCGCCCGCCCTCGCCTGCTGCGCTTCGCCGCCCGCTCGCCGCCGCTCGCCGCCCGCCGCCCGCGCCGCTCCCGCCCGCTCGCCCCGCCCGCTCGCCCGCCGCTCCGCCGCCCTCGCTCCGCCCGCTCGCCCCCCGCTCGCCCGCCCGCTCGCCCGCCCGCTCGGCCCGCCCGCCGACCGCCGCTCGCGCCGCCGCCGCCCCGCCCGCTCGCCCGCCCCGCCCCCCGCTCGCCCGCCCGCCCCGCTCGCCCGCCCCCCGCTCGCCCCTCGCGCCCGCCCTCGCCCCCCCTCGCCCGCCCGCCCCGCTCGCCGCCCGCCCAGCCCGCCCGCCAACCCGCCCGACACCATTCCTCTATCCTTTTCTATCCTCACCCCTTACACACACACACTACACTACCACACATGCCGGGAGACCCGACAGGAGCTAAGAGATTATCTCAGCAGGGGCGGCGCCCTGCTAGTGGGAGATAGCTGGTTGGAAAAACCTGTCTGCCAGTCTTTTACATGCAGTGAATTACAACGTGGGGCAGCCGGCTTTACTTCCCCTCCGAAGGAAGGCGTACGAAGGACTTTTCGGCCACAAATTTGATCGGATTTAAACTCGCGAACTTTGGTACAACAGTCCGATACTCTAACCTTTACACCATCGAAACCGCTTATTGGGGCTGTAATAAGTCGAATAATATACACCAGGTCTCATTGATCTTTGTAAACCAACATGCATTTTTTTTATTCCTGCACGTCCCAGGATTTGGTGTTAAAAAAAGACACAAGGTTCTCTGAGCGGGACTGCCTACCAGTCTACATTCTACACAGGATTAGAAACCATAAGGTCTACAAATTTACTGTTAGAAAACTGAATTGTAAGATCACGAAGTCTCCATTGTTTATAAGACTTGAATCAGACATTAAGAGAATATTTTTCGCTAACATCGCTGAACAAAATTTTGAAACATTTTACCATCAAAGAAACAGATTAGACGTTCAAACAATAAAGACCTGAACAGCCATTCTCCATAATCAAAAAGTACCTCATCGAAAATAAATATAAAGCTAAATTACTTTCGTATTTTCTCAGTTACAGCACAAAATAAAGAATTATATAGTTCAAGAAACATAAGTACATAAAAAGAAGAAAATATCACGAAACATTTACCCAAGAACAGAATGAAAAAGGGGGAAAATCCACTCATCCTTCGTAGACACTACGTAACCCCAGCTAAAAAACGATTTTACGCTATACGAAAAAGCCCTCGATGAACTTAGCCACGCTATATGTGAGAAATAAACCATTGCACTCAAACACACAATCCAAACCGTCAGCGAAAAGATCAAAAGGTCACGAGCCCAGACCATCGAACTCCTCTCGTCCTGGCGCGTGCTGCCGCTGGCACGAGAGCAAGCGACAACGGAGCGGGGATCATCTGATCGCAAGGGGTCCTCGATCTCTCGAACCTCTCTTCACATCTCGATCACATCCCCCCCCCCCCATCGACACGTGCCGGGCGCGTTCGCGTCGAGCGAGCGAGCGCGCTCTCTGACGACTCGACGCGTGATGGAGGACCGCGCATCGACACCTCGCGCACGCAAGCCCTCCACCGCCCTCCACAACACAAAGCCACGTCCTCCAGCCCTCCAACCCTCCAGCCGCCGCGCTGCGTCGCGCCGGGCTCCCGCCGATGACATTCAACGCCCGACGCGCGTTTTCGGAAAGCGCCGATAGAGAGCGCGTCAGGTTGTAGAGGGCGCCTGGCACCTGACACGCTCTCGCGGCCCGGCAGCTGTCAGCGTTTGACGGCCATCTTGTCGAGGTGAATGCCTCTAGGGTTTTCATCCAGCTGGTCGAGCGCAGGAACGCTTTTTGACGAGAGGCTAGTGGTGGAAGCCGTTATTGAGACGTCCTCTTGATAAAGAAGCACTTAATACTTATTCTTAGACTTTCGATTTTTGATACTTCTAACTGAAACATGGCCCTTAACAATAGCACAAAAATATTGCTGCTACGTTGTCAACGTAGAATGGAAAAAATGATTTTACATGTTTCGCTGAAAGATAGAATACCCAGTATATATGTAAGAACAAAAACTATCAATAAAGATGCAATTTTTCAAGCTGTTCGACAAAAGCCAGGTATACCACAATGCGAAATTATTTTAAATGACATGTTTTGTTAGTACAAATTAACGAACCGAATTCGATAAGTTTATAATTTATAAACTGATTATGGATCACATATTTCTCTCTCGATGTAAAGAACATAAACCAGAATGTTCAGTAGAGATTGTATTTTTCTGAGGAAGGAAGTTCTGCCTCACATGTGATTAGAACTCTCGAATTTGTGAATAGCACAGCGTATTCTTCGTGGAGAATCAATATGCGTGTCAGGGCAGTACGCCACGCGTTATGCGTGATGATCCATTGTAGTGTTGTGTTTACTGCTTATTTCGTGAGGATTTTAAGTAACTTTGCAGTGTAGTAAAAATGATTTTTCTATCGAGTTTAAAGAATTATTCTGTGTAGTATATCTTCTAGTGAGTGTATAATTGATGTTATTTTGAGGAGACCTTCTTCATCTAGATTGTTCCACGAGAAGGTTAAGGCAATTGAAAATGGTAGGTCAACACTAGCATTGGCATAATTACAGCAGATACAAATTGTGATAGGAGGAAGAGAAGCTGGTTGACCGCTAGCAGCTGCGGTATACAAAGTAATCCCCCAAGTAGACCGCCACGCCAATGTAGACCCCATTGCCCGTAGTAGAACCATGACCAAGAGCGCTGAAACTACACTACATCGAGTCTGCACAGTACATAGGATAAGCCACCATGTAGAAATATTATATCTTGGAGAAAAACTAACGATGATAGCACACACAAACCCATCCACAATCCCCTTAGTTACCAGAGGGTGAACATACTTTCCTCCCCCTATCTAATTTCGGGTCATTCTTTCCAGAATATAAATTGCCGTGAGGAGAAAAAGGTTCGACGCCCTGGAGGAATCTCCCTCGGAAACATTCTTGGGAGGAAGCATTCTTGAGCCTGCAAGAGCCGAGCGCAGCGCGACGTGGCGGGGCGAGGCGAGGCGAGGGCGAGAGGAAAAGAGAAAAGAGACGGGCGAGTGGCTGCGCAGACTGCCAACTTCACGCGCTTAATCTCCGAAAACGGGCAGCATTCTTGCGGAGGTCTCGGAATGCCTCGTGTGAGCCCCACGTCCGGCTGCCAAGCGCAGGATATTGCTTTCAGGCGGGCGAAAAGAGGAGGGGGGGGGTGAGTGGCGCGGGTTAACAATTCCCTCCTTCCTTCGGTTGGCCTCCCTTCTCTTCGAAAGAGATTCGACCCGCGGTTCTGTAGCGGAGAGAGGCGGCTCCAATTATTCTTGGATATAATAAGGCTTCTTATAAATAATTTTGAATTTATGACAAATTTAAAATAATTTGTGTATTTATGTTTAGTATGTTACACGCCCTTATCTATTATATATGCACGCCCTTGTCAAGTTAAAAAACGTTCAAGATTAAAAGAACCAAAAATCGTAAATCAAAACTTTTTGAACTTACTTCCTACCAAGCTGAAAATAAAATTTAAAAAACTATCTCAATTAACTTTTTACAGTTGCTACACTGACAATCCAACCTTGATTTGCATTTCAATAGTGGGCCAACATGTAAAACAATCGAATAAAATTTCAAAATTTATTTTCTTCATCTTTAAATGTTATAAATAAATTATCTTGTAGCATTAAACTCAAATAGTCTGTGTGAAACAATACAAATAATGGAAGTATGTTAATTTTTCTTTTCAAATTAGGAAAATCTCAAAATTGTGAATTGTGAACATAAGCTTTATGTTGGGGTAGCTGAAGCTCCATTAGCAACATACATGATTTATTTTAAAACCAATAATAAATGTTTGTCATTTTTAGGTCCACCTGGGCCTCCGGGTAAACGGGGAAAACGAGGCAAGAAGGGAGACACGGGGGAACCTGGAACTGTGGTAAGTTTTGTTAGCAATTCTCTTAGAAGCAGTTGTTTACTTTCTATAAAACAGATTGTTATTTTCCAGCACTTGTAAAAATTCTATTCAGATTTAATTAAACTATCAGAACACTCTTTTTTTTTAATGGCGAACGCTTTATTTTTACATAATTTTTCCATTAAAATGTATCTGAAAGTAATATTCTTTTAAAAGTTGATATGATATTATCTTTATATTGTAACATCCATATTTCTAAATCAAAACCAAAACCTTAAACAGTTGCACAGAGTTTGTATTACTTGTACATTTGAGAAGAATATTTCACAATTTTAGTTTTGATGATAAATAGTTAATAAACATCATTATGTTACTTATGTTACTGTTTATTGAATTTTTTTAAATTCTTATACACTTCACCAGTATCTTTAGTTTTTAGTTTTATTTCTTTTTGTTTTTCTTTTCCCTTTACCAAGTTCTATTTTTATTTTTCCTTTTTCAGGGTCCCATCGGCCCTCCAGGGAAGAACGGTTTTCCGGTATTTTATTTTTCACACATTTTATTACATACATTTTAAGTTACATTATTAGAATTAAATAAACACTATAAGCTAAATATATCTTCCAAATATTAGGTGCAATGAAATAGTGTTTTATCTAAATTTTAATATAGCTCAGTACATCAAATTATTTAATACTTGTTTAAAAATGTTATTTTTCTTAAAGGTCCAAAGTTTTGAAATGCAATAGTTTCTGATCCTATTAAGTGTATTGTGTTTCTACATTTCTTTATTTTATCTTGTTGCTTATTATGACAAAACAATTGTAACAATTATTCAATAAAGCAGGTACAGAAATTAATATCTTCCAAGCAGAGAAATAATTCAATGTTAGAAAAATAATTCATTTAAAAAAATATTTTCAATGAAGAGCCAAAATGTGAAGATTTTAGTAATTTTAATTGATAGAATATGGTAAGTAAAGGTGTCAAATGAATTGTATCTCATATCTCATTGACATTCTTCAATATTTATTCAGAATTGGCTTGCTTGATGGGTTGTATCGTCTTTAGACAAATATTTTAAATTTAAAACAAATAATCTGATTGCAGGGTGTCAGAGGTGAGAGAGGGGATCGAGGTCCAATGGTAAGCATGATTCATAAAACTTTATCTTATCTAATAAGTAAAAATGTTATTGTTTCTTCAAAAGAATGCTTATAAATGTTCTAGTTTTTGATGATTAATATTAAAATTAAATTAAAATTACCTATTTGCATGAAAATTGTTTTAAATGTTATATGTCAGTACTTGCAGCATGCATGACTTTCTACTTATTTTTAATAGCCTGCTATTGCTATTTTCATAATGTATCATACTAATGCTTAAGCTGCCTGTTATGTGAGATTGGTGAATGAGAGAATTAATTCTTTTGTTGCAGGGTCAGAAAGGCGCGCGGGGATACCCGGGCTTTCCGGTTGGTTATGATTATATTTGCACAAATGTGGTTGTAGATACTGCAACTGGGATGGCAAACTAACCAACGTAACAAGCTAACAACCTGGTGGTGGTAGTGGGACCTATTATGAATTTTGCTAATACTGTGCAAGGCAGTACATATACTCAACAAGTTAAAAATGTGACAAAATTAATTGTTCCTGCTGTCAATGTGTCACAGTTTTTGCAACAATGTACTTGTCACCAGAAGAAAATTATCAACAATTCTGGAAATATACACTGTAAAAGAAATGTATAAAAACTTGCATTGCAAATTTTTACTGCTGCAGTGAACCAAAGAAGACTAGCTTTTTATATTATTTATTAAACTAAACCATAATAATATGATTTAATGATGCTTGGCTGTTTAATTACTTGAATAAGATGAAATAATAAATTTGATCTATAATATTGAAATACATCTCACTTTCTCAGAAGATCATGTGAATTACTGGAGTAGTGAGCACAAAGAAAACAGTTTACATCATCTAAGTAGTTGATTCTTGAAGCATCACCACTCATCATTAAACTTATGTAACGGTGTTACAATTACAGGTAATCATTAAAAATTGGTAGGTTAAACCTGACAAGAAAATATGAACAACTAAAAAATATTTCTAAAATGGATTTATGGAATTTTGAATTGATCACCAACCACTGTTTTGAATTACTATGAGTTCAACTTGTCACGAGTTCACGACTTGACTATGGGTTCAAAGAGACAAGAGTAAGTTATTAAATCAATTAACATGAAGAATTAAATTAAAAAAGAATGTGCAGTTTTGGTAATCAACTCAGTGCATTAAAGATGAGTTACTCAAGACAGAGAATTTTATTACTTTCAGATCGCTGTTCATTCGAATATCTGAAAATAGTATACAAAATATCAAAGTATACAAAAACTAATCAAGAGGTTTATTTGTGAAGAATAATTTAATTAAATACTACAAAACATACTCATGTCAATCATTCAAAATGGGTTTTCCAGTCATTACCAAGTTATGTTGTAACATTTCTTGCCCATTTTCTATACAGTGAATATATGACTAAAAATTCAATTTTTTAAGTTCAGGTGATTTTATGTTACACCTTGAAAACAATATTTTTGAGATATAAAATATTTTACAATTTTCTTATTCTTCACTTTTAACATGTGTATTTGAAGAATACTCGATAAGTTAAAAACCCCAATCAGTATTAATTCGAGGCACATAAATCATAGGATTTTGTTCAACATAAAATTTTCAATACAACACCGAACATTGTGCATTAGATATTAAGTATTGAATATAATGAAATAGTGCAAATTTCTTAGGACACAATACATTCAAGATAGTCCCATAATGTATTTTTTTTTCTTCTGTTGAAAATGAAGCCTTAACATGATTGCTAATGCCATCTAATATTTGGAAGTCATTAATTTTTAAATAAGTTATAAATATTTAGAACATGGGATGGTAAGAATAAAATATATTCATTTGAAAATAAACAGTTAAGTATTTAAGTCAGTGGAGAGGCTTCCAGTCAGTGGTAGATATGGTGATGACTACACAAAGTGATAAAACTTTTGTGATTTCAATGTTTGAGACAAGAATTAGATAAGCCGTTTTGGATAACCAAGGTGGCTAAGAGCGTGCTAGGCTTCGGTCCAAAGGGTTGCAGGTTCGAGTTCTGCCTAGGGTGTGGTTGTTTGTCCTTTGTCTCTCATGTATGTGTTGTCACGGAGGACCTCCCGTTCTGCTGACGCCAGATCAGAGGAGCTTGAAAGTATGTTGGTGTTTAGTGTTTGGTCGACAGTTTCTGGCCATGCCTGGTAAAATGCGCCATTCAAACTCTTGGAAGGAACTTGTGAGTGTAACAGTTCAGTGTATTTTAGTGCTCTGTGATTATTGGATGATTTATCCAAATTTTAATAGAATTATCAAGCTTCTATTAATTGCCGTGCATTATAGGAAAACTCTAAGAAGGTATTGTAGTTCAATTGAAACAGAAAAAATTTGATTCACACAATTTTGGAACAGAAGCTTTTCAGGGAGAAAGTGTAGAAGGTAATTTTTAAATTTGACAACTAAAGTTTCCGAAAAGAAATAAAGATTACACATAAAGATTATATTATGGTGTCTAGTTATAAGTAGTTGGTTACTAGTTGAAAGTATCTCCATGGGAATAAGTGTCAAAGGTCTTTTGTAAATAAAAGACAAGGCTAACAAAAGATGCCATTCATAAGTTTGGATTTCTGATGGATTTTGTAATTTAAATTCCCTTACAAAATGAGCCAAGCTCAGGAAAAGTAATATTTCTTATCATATTGATTGCAATATAATAAATTTTAGTTTTACTCTCACCTTAAAAAAAAGAGGCTAAAGTAGTTCAAAAGATTTATTGAAATGAATGCGAAAAATGAGCATTGAGTGTTTAAAAGTCAAAATATAATACAAAAAATATTTTGAATCCTTATCTCTCAGTAGCTCCTAAAAGATAGATACTCAACATATCTTGTAAAGACTGCAAAAATACAATACCTCACCACTGATTTAGATACAAAGAAAAAGGCTTCTTCTGTTAAGTTGTTGAAGATTATTATATTAAAACATTTATCAAAGGAATTTTCCACATTATACAAGCATATTGGTATGACATTTTTTGAAGAAATGACTTGGACGGAATGTATACAATGTTTAAGGAAGCAGAGGCTTCCTAAAATAAGTGTGAAATATTTTCTCGTATAGAATATTTTATGCAGGGAACTTCAAAAGAGTTCCTACCTATTTGCATGTTTTAATATTAAATTGTAACATTAATTTTATTTTTTTTAATAATGGTGTTAATAATTTTTAAAGAGCATGAAGCATGTATTTCCCACATGTATTAACAACTAAAAACAATTATAAATTAAAAAACAAAAGATACTTAGAACTACTATTTACTACTTTTTCACTTGAAGTAAATTAAGGATTTTGATGCTGATTTCCTTATTGTAAAATATGAAATAATATTTTCTTCTTAGTTATTTTCAATAAGTGCGTATTTGATATTGATATAGACTTTTTTCTTTGAACATTCACATAGCATTCATAGGCAATGGCCAGAAATGTCAGGAAAATCTATACTAACAGGCAAGGACATTGAGGGGAAATATTTGTACTTCAAGCAACCTTATACCTCACGCAAGCAATAGTTCTGAAAAAACAAGGCAAAGAAAAAAATTGTTTTATTCTGAAAGTAGTTATGTAGAATTTTTTGGGGATCTCACAAGTAAAATTTCTAACAATTACAATTATGTTCTTTTACAAAACACAAAGCTAAATTTTAAGTGAGCACTATATGCATTATAATTTGATATGGGTTTTTGATTTATAATTATTTAATGGAACAAAATTGTTTGTAAACTATCTGTTGACATAGATTTATGCCACGAAAGCAGTTGTCACTTCTTGGGCAACTTTATTGCCTTGTGCATCAGCCCATCTATTTATTACAAAAATTCAGAATGATGAAAAACATAGTTTTTCATCTTTTATAATTTATCAGTTAATAATTTAAATGCCTTGCGTTTCTATATTTTCAGTTCTTAAATATAAATAATGACCAAGTAGTAATGCTATGGATAAGCCTATTCAAAGAAATGAAAACCTAAGTCATCACAAATGAGAATTCCGATACATCACAGTCAGAAACCCCTGATTATATCTCACTATTGCTGGCCCCCTCATCACTGGAGAACATAAATCCACTTACAACTATATCACCCTAACTAGTTCAGGGTCATTTCCAAAAGCTTGATGTAGCTGTGTGAAGAAAGGTAGCCAAAAGTCAGGAATGCTGATCACACATTCTAGAGAAAAATGAATTGAAGGGAGTATGTAGAAAAACAAAATCGTGTTCCAGTTTAACTAAGTCTGAGAGAATATGCAAATTTCAATAATACATCTCCCAAAAAAGATAAAAAATTCATGAAATGAATTTATTCAACTGTCTTGAGTTCTTTATGTCAAAACTTCTGTTTTGTAATAAATTTATGTTTGCTTTCCTGGGTTGACCTCTCACAAATACCCTCTGTTTTCCTAATTCTTTGGTCATGATAAGCTGGGTGGCCTGCAGTATAAGGTTAGGTGACCGAAGATAGTACCTGCCTTTGTTTGTACCTTAAGACAAATAACTTTTTTTCCAACTTTTAAAGTGGAATATGAAATGGAAATTTGCGCAACAATTACTATGATAAAAACATTGTTGAAGTTTCCCTTAGAGCAAAAAAAAATTAAAAGAAAATTTTTAACATGGTAGAATACATTACAATGCAAAAATGTTGTCAACAAAGGGTCACCCCAACATATTGAATGTTCTAAACCAATTCAAAAATTTTAACTTTGCTAAAATGTTAATGTAAAAGTTAAATGCACTCATTTTACTAGTGTTTGATCTAGTGGTCTGAATGAAACGTGAAGAACTAGTTTTTGACATTTTGATTTTGACTGACTTTTAAATTGAACGGGAAAAAAACATTGAAATTACTTTTATAGTAGTAATTAGGTAGGTAAATTTGTATTGATCCTGTAACAATTGAAAGAAAGAAAAGCACCAAGAACATATTTGTTTCAGTGATGTTTGAATTTGTATTTTAGTACTGCTGTTTGAATTTATTCCCGCATCTACCCCAATAAGCTAATACTAATTTTCTATCATATTATGTATTAATGCATATGCACTAATAATAATTACAGAATTTATAAATCCTTTCATTTGTCCTTTTGGAAAACACACTGCTTCACAAGTCTAAATTTGTCCTTTTACTAGAGAAAGTTCCACAGGACCAGATGCAGTTTATGGATTCTCAAGCCCTTTATACTCCTTATGAAATTGCTCTACTTGACCGTCCTGATTGAATTGCATTGTCTTAGTTTTAACGTAATAATGTTTTAAGGAAATAACCTATTACTGTATAACTGCAGAAAAATATAATTTACTTAAAACATTTGTAAATTGAAAAGGCAGTTACTTTCATCTACTGAAACATACATTTTTTCTCTCTTTCTCATTTCCTCTCACTCACTGCTAATAATAGTACATCTATATTACTATGAATAGTGAATTAAAAGGGAAGTAAAAGCTTACACTTTTATACATTTTCTGTTGTTGTTGTGGTTGGTTTATTTTTTGTTGTTTTTTCTCCCAATCTTTTGAGTAGTATGTTTACAGCAAACAATTATACTTTTCAAGGTCTGCAAATGAAATCAGACTCAAAGCAGTACATAATAACAATTCTCTGAATTGTATGTTGTGCCTCTTAGTAACAACTGTGACCAAAAATTATAAATTCTCTTATTTTTTCAGGGACCAATAGGTTTGGATGGGCCCAAGGGAGATCCGGTAAGCATTTTCTTTTCTTACTAAAATGAAACAATCTATTTTCTGTGATATTAAGATTTTTTTAATATAAATTTGAACTAATTTCTGTGGAATATGTTTAAATAATAATTGAGAAAGAACTGTATTTTAAAAATTTGTTGCAAAATAAAATATTTGTGAGATTCTTTAGAACGAAATCATTTTTTGCAGGGCAGACCAGGTGATAAAGGTCAGAAAGGAGAACTTGGAAGCCCTGGTTTTGATGTATTCTCTGCAGTGAAGGTAAATTTAATTGAAAATTTGTTCACTTAATTTCATCCTAAAAATTATATTTTTTATATATACTTATTTTATTGTATGTTATTACTAAAGTGTTTTTTATGGTAACAGAGAATTTCCTCTAACATGTTTTATTTCAGTATCATAAGTGTCTTTAGTGTGATGAAGGAGGGCTGGATTCACATCTACAGAAGGGTTCATGTATTTTATTGCAAAAATACCAAACAACTAATTTTTATCCTGAAGATATTGCGAAATTACATAAGACGTGTCAAATAATAGGATATTCTATTTTACTTTTGTATTTTTAATATAATACTGGTCAACATGGGCCGTGCCTTTGGTATCTAAAAAGTATTTTTCTGAAGTTTGGGTGTACAATAAAATAAAAATTTCTGTGATAGTCCAAATATCTTCCTTCTGTGAACAAGGCACCCAAAAACTAGATTTGTAGTATCCAAATGTTTCAAACTCTATGACTTTTCTCATTTGAAGATAAAATAGCATAGAATAGCTCAATTTCAAAGAAATTCTCCACAAATTCTGTTCTGATGATGTTGCTGTGTAAAACTAAGTGCTAGAGGAGAAAGCTTGCAGAGAAACCAGAGAGAATAATGCTTTTCTTGAAAATGTTAGCATTTTGCTATCAAATAACTCAAAATATATTGGGAATTGCCAAAGGGAAAATAATGTAAAGAATGTAATAGGCAATTTTGTGAAGTTGCATTTCAAATACAGTATCATTTTTGCTACAAGGCATCATTTTCGATAAGCAAAAGCTATCACATATAAAAATATAAGCAATAATCATAAGCAAAATAACATATTCTTTTTTACGCCTTAACTGTTTTTAGTGGTTAGGATGTAAACATTAAATAGTTCCCAGACTTGCAAGTTCTGCAGGTTACAGGAAGGCACATAAATAGTCCTTTTATTGTATTTTCACCTAATCTTTGTAGAAAACTGTAATTAATATCTTTTGAATACAAAACCCAATAGCAAAAAAATGGGATAAAGCAAAGTTTGGTCCATTTTAGCATCTAGCCAACGTTTTTCAGAACACTGAGACAGAACTCAGTAAAAAAAGACAATTCATATTTTAGAGGACATATACAAACCCTTGTATACAGCAACCTCACCAAATAAATTTACCACCACCAAAGAACTTTCAAAAACCTAATATGCATTTTCAAGTCAGAAGGCAAAAAATAAATTGTTATTTCTCTAATTGTTATTCTCATTCTTGTAGCCACCCTTTCTTTGAGCTCTTGTTCAAAAAACAGGATAAAACATTTTCTTAACTTTAAATTTTGAATCAGAATACATAATCTTGTTTATGAAATCTATTTCAAATCTAAATTATAATTTTATCCTCAAATTGTCTTAATAAACAAACATTTTTTTAGTTCAGAAATTTGTTACTCAAATTTAATTTATTTACAGGGTTTAAAGCGATCTGTAACCACCTTAAGAGGGGGTACATTAGGCTATGCAGAAATAGTAGCTGTCAAGGTGAGATAATGGTGTTGATGTTGGTTATCAAAACTAATATTGATTGACAATAGTTTAACCTTTTTTTAACATCTTTGGGTTCAAATGTTTGTTTTCTTGTGCATCAAGCTTCATTAACCCTCAAATTACCCTCTTATTTTCTCGCTCATTAATTTGATTTCTTGAAATAACTTGGACATTGCCAACACATTGTAACCAGTTACATGAAGAAGAAATAAGGAGAAACTGCAACATAACTGTTTATAATGTGTAAGCAATGAATTTAATTATTTTGTAGCTCACCTGTAGATGTATTACTCCTTCTGTAGAATTATATAACTCATTTGTGTTGGTAATTATTTTCTAATGCAATACCATTAATTTGCAACTTACTGCTGATTTGTATTTCAGAATTTGGAATGAATTCAGAGAAGCAAAAGTAACATTAAATAATTTTTTGATAATCTCATTCCTTTCCTTTTAGAATTACATACTACTCAATTAATACAGCACATACTTTAATTAGAGGATATAAATTGGTTTCAGGGAACAATTTCCTTTGAGTAATATCTCTAAGGGTTTTTCATCCAATTTCAAAGTAAATGCATTATTAAAAGATCCCAGGAACTAAAAGTGAATTCAATTAAATAACCATAACATTTACTCAGAACATTCAATAAATTCTTAGATAAAAAATGTTTAATGATAACTTGTTGTTACTCTGATTCTCTATGTCATTTCAAATGGATTGCAACTGTACTATAATGCTTTGTTAGTTGCCAATTACAGTAATGTACTGTAGAGAACATAAAATTTATTTTTAGTGTTGTTTCACTGTATTTTTATTTCGTAGTGTGAATGTAACATAAATGCTAAAGATAGAGCATATTAGCTTGTGTATTCATTAGGTTTCATTTTTATCATATCTCATAAATCATAATTATTTTTACATATATATTTAAATCAGAAAAGAATTGATATTTATTTGTCATATGATACTGGAATTTTCACAAGTACAAGGTTACAAAATTCTCTTACTAAAATTTTAGTGCCAGTCTAAGCTCTTCAGAATTTTTCATGAAGACACCACAAAAATTAATATACCTAATCTTATTTCATTCTACTGAAATAATCCTGAAATAATCCTATGTTTTTTAAAAGCCAAAACAATATTATTTTGTTTCGCTTCTGAAAATAAATTCAATGAAAAAATAATGATATCAATTTTGCTCTTATTGGAATTGAAAAAGTTATTAACCTTTAGAGTTGCAGTTTTAATTTGATGCTTTCATTTTCAAAATTCATTCATCCTTACTATAGTTTCCTATACTTAATAAATGTAAATGTGTATCTCACAAGAGAATGTAAAACGTTTTAAATGTAAATTGAATCTTTTGATAAGATAAATAAACTGCAAAAAATACAGATTTATCATTGTGTTTTATGAACAGACATAAAATTCTTGTGTTTGATCTCTAATAACTTAGGTGTCATCCATAAATTATGTAATACAAATTTAGGGTATTTTGAATACCCCTTTCCCCCTTGTATCATACCTGTAAAGCATGCATGAACCCTCCCTAAATAAGTACATAAGGCTGGCAACAAGGCCCCCTCTCATTCACAATAAGAAAAAATAACTTATAGAGCAGTAACAACAAGTTGGATTAATGTTATTTGTGTTATATATTAAAATTTATGGTAATGAAGGTCAAAATTAGTTGGCGATCAAGACTCTACCTAACAACAAGATTTTAAAAAATTTATGAATGAAAGAAGAACATGTATGCAAGAAAATTTCTGACAAGCCCCGTCATAGATGATACATGGGACCTGAGTCTGTTGTGCCAATTTAATTGGATTCTAGAATATACTAGATCAGTTTTCAAAATTTTCTTTGTAATCTGACAGATTCGTTCAATATACAATGATGAAAAATTATTTCCAATTATTGTAATAATTTATGCGCCATAACATTTAAATTTATTATATTTTTAAAATTTATTTTGTTAATATTTTAATATTTCAATATAATATTGAATAAAAGAAATTATTTCAGCAAACATTAAATTTTAAAAATAAATGTCAGCATTATGTAACATTAAAATGAGACCCTCCATCTCTCCACCCCCCACCCCTATGTAACACAGCATAAAGCAGCCTCATACCATGTCCCTGCCTCTTTAGTGTTACATAATTTATGGACAACCCCTTATATATAGTACATATAGTATATCAAACTCAAACATTTTATAGTTTCCACTTTCTTATTATAGATAATTTTGTTCTGTTATGTGTAGCTTTCTTTCAGTTGATGTGAATAGAATGTTGTAGAAAACTATATAAGATCTTGTGTAGTTAATAATGATATGAGCCCCCATCACACAGAATTGTTGTATCATTACCATGACATATTAATTTTTTATTGGCTTCGTCTTGTATTATCATGTTGTTTTGAAAGCAATAATTTGTGCAATACTATGTACTTTACTTTCTCTCTTTCTGTTTGTATTATTATGTTCACTTCTCACATCCATACTGAAAGCAACATTCATATAATTCACCTACAGTTAAACATACTTCTAGGGTCTCCAAGAACTTGGGCATAATATATCAGCTCAACAGATAATTACCCTGAAAGTAAGTGATATTCAGCTTGAAACTGCAAATGCATAATGAATGTTAATGTTAAAAAATTTCAATGAAAATTACTTTCACACCCACAGAGAGATATTTCAAATTATGTATCAATTGATCTTCAGTTAAATCTTAGTATACTTCATCAAGGAATTATTGCAAATCTCTCCTTATACTTTATTAATCAAATGAAATTGGAATAAAATGCCTGCTGCAAAGACATGATTTCAGACATACAAAAAATTAAATATTGCATCTTATGCTTTCCATTTTAAAAAAATATTTACTCTGAACACCAATACTTCCTTTAACAATCGTAATCCTTGAACAAAGAATTCTATTATATTAATAAATTTGCATGACTTGTTTTGCATGTTGCCTGCTTCCTCTTTTCTCCACATTGCATGCAGGTTTCTGTACCATGCAGGTTAGTATTAAATATATAAAACATATTTAATTAATATCAATAATCATGAATATCAATTGTTAGAAAAATATATAAAGTATTAATTTAAGATTTCAAATCCTTTTATTTTTAAATAATATTTGTAGGAAAGTTAACCAAATTTTACAACATATTTTGTCACATTAATTTTGTCAAATTACTGAAATAATATCAGAATAAATATTGACTTTTTTAAGTTTTGAATCATAACTTCTGTTCCCTTACTGAGAGAGTAATATATAATATATATAAATATATAAATATAATAATATACAATATATAATATATAATATATAATATAATAATATATAAATATATAAATATATATATAAATATAAATATATAAATATATAAATATATAAATATTAAATAATATAATAATATAAATAAAATATATAAATATATACAATAGACTGTGTAGGGTGAGCCTGGTGAGCCAGGACCTCCAGGTCCTCCGGGCCCACAGGGGCCAGAAGGTCTACCTGGCCATGATGGACGGCAAGGGATCCCAGGTGAACCTGGACCTCCAGGAGAGAGAGGTCCACAAGGGCCGATTGGACCAATTGGGCCTGTAGGAATACCAGGAGTAACAGGGCCAAAGGTAAGCTTTAACTAATCCACACAGAAATTATATCTGCTCTTCATTTAATGTTACAAACTTTTGTTATGTATGCTTTCACAAAGGTATTAAATATTTTGGAAATGTATTAAACTTTTCGGTAAATACAAATACCAAAAGGAAGAAAATGAAGAACTATCAAGACAGAATATTGGGATTTTTGGAGGTTTCCCCAATATAATTAAAAACATCCCTATGTTCACAGCAAAGAACAAATTGAAAATTCATTAATTAATCTTGGAAAATAAATCCATGATGTGTGTTTCTGTGATTCTTGAATCCTTATTTATGAGGAATTGTGTACCTATTAATGGTATAAAGATTTTCTTGAATTTTCTCTTTCGTCCTGATTTGAAAATAGAATCTGAGTTCCAGGTGACCCCATAAAACATATCATTTTCAAGCAGCAATTGTCTTGGGAAACCCTTATAACTTTATTTAACAGACAACTTTATATTACAAGTGTGTTGAGGTATGAGACACTGGATGTGATGGGATCATTCAGAAGCAAATGTCTTATACCAAAAACTTGTTTTTTGTTGTTTTTTATTAATTATTATTCACACATACAATTGTCACCTCACGTCACCTTCCCTCTATAAGTGAGTATAATTAATTAATCTCTGGATTGATGAAAAATCTACTCAAGATCTGATACTATTCAGTTTGTTATTGTTATATGAAACACACTAATGAACTACTGAAACACACTGATGGGAAAAATATAAATAAATCTGTCCTTACTATATTAAGCCATCAGCTCTATTTGTTCAAATTTTTTTGTAAGAGATCTCTTAAATCTGCCAACATATTAATCTTTTTATATGCATTTAGAGTATTAAAATTTATTGTTAATATCTTGAATATTTTGCTAAAGTTGAAGTAAAATTATACTATACAAACGAGTCAGGGGTGTTTACAACAAATTATTTACACAAATATTAGTTATTTTGCCTCTATTTCAAAAAATAAGTTAACCAAAAAATCATGAACCTCTTGACCTTTATTAAGATCCGAATAGCTAATCATTAGTCAATCAATATCATATTTAACTGTTATCATCTATCATAAATCAAAAATACGGATTAATAATAATAAATAAATAAATAAATTCTATTATTATTATTATTATTATTATTATTATTATTACGAGATCGCTACGGCACTACTGCCTTAGCGATCTTGGCCACCGGATCGGCTATTTAATAGTATATAATAAAATAATGTACCATACATATTTTTTCCCAGTAAATAATATTTTTCAAATCTTGTTCATATTTATTCTACCAAACTGTCTTTAAACAAGACATTTTCAGTTACTTATCTCCTCCTCCTCTTATATTGTATATTTTCATATTAGAAGTGTACAACCCCCCAGTCTCCAATGTGTGTTTATTTCATGAACGACGCCTAACTACATATATTACTTTTCTTGTAATAAGTAATTATTACAAAAAACATATAACGGAGATTTCTCTAGCCTTTTTTAGGCTTTACGATGTTTTAATAAGAGATGGATAAGAACTCTAAGTTAATCATCATAACGTCATATATAATCCTCTTAAGTATAATGTCAAGTATAATCATCTTAAAGTTAATCATCAATTCCTAACATTTGTAAGAATGCTGTTAAGTAGATTATTTCCCATTAGCACCCAGTATCTGATAATTTTTTCATCATATTTATTAATTAAGGTTTGTCCAGTCATCTGTCAAATTCTGTGAGAGGCAGATGTCATTATGCACTTGCAGTCAGAAAAAGTTTTTGATTAAATTATGAAGATCAACAAAAGTCATATATTTCAAAACACTTCCACTGAAATATGAAATATTTACAATAACCAAAGTGTACAAAATAAAATAAAAACAGATTTGAGGATCTTTTATTGTCTTAAGTATTTTTTTAAACCATAAATGATCTTCTCAGGGAGAAAAAGGAGGTTTTGGGATGATGGGACCTCCAGGAATGGCAGGATATCCAGGAGTTAAAGTGAGAAATAATTTTGGACCCTCACTTCACTAATTTTCACTAATGATTGTAACATAAAACATTCAAACGGACATGGTTTACCTTGGTTTTTAAGTTGCCACTTTTTACTAATAAAAATATTAACTTCTTTCATTTGAAATTGGTTCAGTATCTTTAACAAATCTGTATTGCTAACATTTAGCAATGCAATATAACCCAAGTTAATGCTCTTAAATTTCTAACAATGTATTGACCCTGATCATATCACCTTTTAGTAGATGCAATAACTAGTTTCTTATTTTCCTGATGTAAGAATGAAATACCTCATAAAATACTGTATTTAAAGTAATAACTTTTTTTTAGTAGTAATAATTTTCCTATTATTTAGTATTAATTCTAATTAACATTAATTCTCTCGTCCAAGTTGTTGGGTGTGTTCTTTTCCATGTACACAAAATTAAATTTATCATACATGCATACATATGTAATATAACTATAAAATTGTGATACAGACATTTTAGCTCTTATGTTAAATGATGAGATTATTCAAATTCATTAAATATTTTGCCTTACTATCAAAACTTTGTCCATCTCTGGACCATGCATACAATTTTAATTTTAATTAAGAGGACAAAAAGAGAGATTCATTGACTCTCTTTACCTCCTTTCCTTTCCTTTTCCCTTTTTTTTTTTAAAATTTCACAAACAAATCAAAATGCTTACATTTCTTCTCAGCTCAGATGTACTTCAATATATCTTTAATTTACAATTGCTTTGCAGGGTGACAAGGGAGACAAGGGAGAGCGAGGATTAACGACGACTCTGAACGGTGACCAATTCCCTACTGGAATTATTGAAGGTCCCCCTGGGCCTCCTGGGCCCCCAGGTGAGTGGTTCTCACAATATGCAAGTTCAGCTTTCATTCAGACAGTTTCCCCCTGAATGGATTCTTTATTCCTTTTCATTTTTCAATTACTATTTTGCATTCCTTCATGTACCAGCTTGCCTAAAGTGTTTACCATGTTTGGGTACATTTTGTTTTTTCCTGCTTGAATGAAGACATTTTAGCAGGTTTGGAGTAAAGAAGATTAATTCTTCAATCATCAAGCTTTCTCTTCATACTATAATAAAAAATATAAATGAAATAAAATTTGAAGAAAGTATTTAACTATAAATTTATTTTTAAATATCTACAAGACTTGACTAAACAATGCTATATAATATAATGTATGGAAGTGAATTATAACCCAATATGAATATTTACAATAATGTTTTAAATTCTTGTTTTCAAACATTATACACTTTCATATAAATAAAATACATTTCTTGTATATACCGATAATCATATAAAATTCACACATAAACAAGAGTGCGTAGCTCTCACCTTTTTTCTAACTGTTGTATGAATTTATTCAAATACATTAATGAACATAGTATAAATTTTATTTGCATTGATTAATTATACCTATTATTGAAAGTGAATATTGATTCATAAAAATTTATTTATTTTTCATATATTATTCTTGAAATAATTAGGTTTGAAGACTAAAAGAAGACAAAAAGTCAGAACTTACAAATTTTTGAACATATTAACATGACACGTGAAGTATTGCCTATACACAAAATGCCATCATGAGATTTAGCATGTGGTCTCCATTGAAAAGAATTCAAGATATTTAGAGAAGTTATGAAAATGTGTAGCCTACTTTTGAATTGTGAGCAGTTAGAATATTGATATAACCTGTGTCCCTTGGAATACTATCATGGCACTTGTTGAAGCCTTGTTGAAGCCAAAAATGATATTACATTAATGAAATAGATAAACCTGAAAAAATCATAAATATTACACATTAAATATCATTATTTTTTATGCATATTTGTGATGTCCTAAGACAAGCGTGAATAAACTTTTTTTTTTATATATTGACTGAAACTAACTGAAGGGGAAATTTTAATACCTGTTTAATTGTACTTAATTGCTGAGGAATAGGATAAATTCAAAACAAGTTATGTATACCTACTCACTTTTTTTCCATTTTTGATTATGCTTTTTTTAAATTTTTTTATTATTATTTTTAATTTTCATAATTATATTCGACCATGTGCAAAATGTCATGATTAGAAGCTTTCTCATATTTCAACTTGGGGAGTGGATTTTCAACACTGGAGGGAAATGATGAAAGAATATCTTTAGATCCAGTTGAAAAATACTTTTTATCTTCTTTTTAATATAAATATGTGATCTAGATGATATTGTCGTAACTTCAGTCTTCTTACTAGATATATTTGAATTATTTAAAATCATTGGAACAATTTACTGGTTCCGATGTCTAAAAACATATGATTTCAAAATTCAAAAGTGTTTATAAATGATTTGGAGTCAGTTTTAATGGAGTGGCTTTTTAATGAAGCTGTCAATGCAAACTCATCGTGACAGAAACGTATGTGATATTGTTCCCAAGGACCTGAAGGCCAGAGGGGTGAGAAGGGAGAAATGGGTCCAACTGGTCCACCGGGGCTACCCGGAGAGAAAGGTGCCCGAGGCAAGCGGGGGAAGAGGGTAAGGAAATAATTACACTGGAAAACTCAAAGTGTGTTATCTCTGTGAAATTAAAAATTAATTTTCCAAGAAGCAAGAACATTTTATGTGCATTATGTTGGCTTTTACAAATTATTTGCTTTCTTATTCCATGGTGTAATTCATTGAAGAGCACATAACACCCTATTTGTCTCATTAAATGGATGTGAAATTTGTTGATTGGCAAACAGTGCAAGAGACTTTGCAGAAATGATATTTTACCTACTATGTCCTTTAAATAGGTTTTAAAGGGGATTTTTTCTCTTCCGAATTTTTAAAAATATGATCATGTGAATGTAGCATTTGATAAAAAAATTAACTTCCGTTTAATTTTTAATGGAACAGCAAGATGAATACAAATAATTTTTAACTAAATTCATAATTTTAAAAAATGAGAAGTCAAATGATTTTTAATAAAATAGGATGCAATAAACAGCACCAAAAGTATTTATCACAAGAAGAAAGATTACTTTTTGATCAGATCATCGTCTTTCACATTAGTAGTCATTTAGATAAATTAAATAATTTGCACACAAATAGGACATGTAATCTTAAATAGTCTCCATTTTTTTGCTGTAATAACTTCTTTCTAGATGTCAGTTTTTAACTGTGAATGAATGTAGTGACTATATTTTTTATTGATAATAAAATAATTCAGTTCAATATCATAAACTGTTTTTAAAAGAATATAGAAATAGTATTTGTATTTAATTTCATCTTACATGTGAAGGATCATTATTTGACTTTTGGAAGACTTTTTTTTCTTTTTCTTTTTTTCTTTTTTCAAAGGAGAAAACAATTCTGAGGGCACACAATTCCACGTTTCATTTTTAATAAAAAATAATTCTCTGCAATTCTAAGTTGCATCAATGTTCTGACAACTGTAAGAACATATTTGTTTGTGTAATTACACTGAAGGGCTACAAATATATTTCTCTATCTTCACATATATGTTCTCTTGCTATGTATTGTACACTTTACAAAATTTCATAATTCTTTCATATAAATTTATTTCTTCTTTGTTTCTTTTTGTCTATTAACATTTCCATTTGGTTTGTAATACCTAATTGTTAATTTTTGCCAACATTTTGTACCATAAGTAGTTAGTTGCTCTTGTGGTATGTTCTGTACTGCAAAAGACTGTCACACATCTTCTTTATCATAAATGAAAAACATTTTAATAGCTTTTTGACTTACTGCTTCAAAAAGCTTGCAATTATTGAATGTGATAATACCACTAATATTGAATCTTTTGTGCCACTTTTCAAAAGATTTGACACACTTTTCACTTCAAATAACGCTTATTTATTTACAAAAACATATTTTAATTTGCTTCTTGCATGATTTATGAATGAGAATGCCTGAAGACTGCTTGCATGGCTTTGTTTTTAAAATACATTTGCTTCCAAGGGGTACCAATGCACTGTGGTCTGTTATCTAAAACTAATTTTAGTATTGATTTGAACAGATTTTAACTTTTTTGTTGTTGTTGTTGTTGTGTGTGTGTATCTTTTACAATTGGTTACAGTGAATTTTTAAGTTGAATTTCTTTTACTTTTTAAGGATTATTTAAATAATTTAAAACTTAATTAAACACAAGTTTTGCATAATCTATAAAATTACTTTTTTTACTTTCTATGATGTTATTTTTATGCATTCAGATAATTTTTGAACTGAAATATTTTCACATATTTATTTCTACAATGGTGGTGGCAGCAATATGTAAATATATTTGTGTTGTTTTTTTCTGATTTTTTTATTGCACTCACTAACTTATTAGTAAAATAATCAAGACTCACTGCAAAGTTTAAAAATGCAAATAGTTTAATTCAAATAATTTTGCCAGCAATTAATTTCCTTTTGTTTTATCTATCATTTGTTACTAATCTTCTACTGCTTAGTTCTTAAGCCTTAAAAATATTCAGCTTTACCTGTGTAATAATTTGTGTCTTCTGTTTCCTAGTTGTGCTTACATTGTTTTATTTAAAGCTTACTAATTAATTTGTATTTTTATTTTCACACTAACAAATTAGTTTGTAGTTTGAGTTTATTAACCAGGCCCATCACATATGAAACCAACCCATCCTTTAAGTGTGATGTGCGACTCTGAAAAGTGTCCAATATCATGCAGACATATATGACACATGTAAGTATTTTCATTTGCAGTTCATCAATCAATGCTTCTATGAACATGCTGTCAAGTACATTTCTTTAAAACAATTATATATTAGTAATACTAAAAATCTTTTTAATTTTTCTTTTTAAAATTCTTACTTCACTTCACTTTTGCCCAATAAAATTAAACTAAAACATGAATTGCATGAAAACTCCTTTCCAATGTAGTTATTCAAACATATATTCTTTACAAAAATCACTTACTACAAAATCTAATATACAATAGCACACTGTTATGTCATTTGAGCCTGCTTCTTCTTAAAAGAAAATTAAGTATAAACGAACATGTGGTTGTGTTAGATTTATTTTATTTATTTCAATTCTTTCTCTGTTATTTGAATTTTTTAATAAATAATTTTAATTTATTTAGTCATTTAATTGTTTTTCCAAGTATACTGATAGTATTATGAATCTGTGAAACTCATTTGAAATAATTATTTCAGACCTTTCTTTTCCTCCAATTATTTGGAAGAAGTTGTGTAATTGACAAAAAATAATATTTATTAGATTGTAAATATAAAGACGATACACCGACACCAGTATATGAAACAGAACAATGAAACAGGCTCTAATGATAATATCCTCTTAATATGTATATCCTTCAGAGTCTTTGTTAATCCAGTATTTTTAAAGAGAGTAAAATACTTCAAACCAGGTATTTCAATTGTATTCAAAATGTTGAGATTATCAATTACATTTATTGATTTAATTTAATGATAAATCATTGAAATATCAAATACTTCAGTACTATAAACTCATATACATATTGGCCATTTCTCAAATTGTAAAATTTTCTGAAATTTGCAATTAATGAGTGAAAATAATTATGAAATATTTTAAAAAACTGTTATTGAATCTTGCTTGGGGTTTACAATGCAAATGGATAGGGAACACAAAATAAATAGATTGACGAAATTTGACTCATGAAACTTGTGAATCATTTTGCTAATTTGTATTGAATCAAATTTTTTCGCAAGACACATCAATTATTTGAAGTTCACACTCCAATTATCTAAATATCATTTAATTAACTTTTCTTACACACTAAGAATAAAAAGTTATAATTTAAAATCATTAGTAGGTACATTTCTTTTTGTGTCAATTAGTATTTTCTCATATTTTTGGTTAACTTTTTATTTCGTAATTTGAATCCAATTTGTTAGCCCACATGAAAATAACAAGAGAGATCTGACATTCCTTAAAATTGTTTGTGTATTTGATTTGGATTTTTTTATGACTTCTGAGAATTAATGTTAGTAAAGTGTTTCATGAAGTAGGATGGGGACAGCAGACATTTTTTTTTATTATTCATATTTGAAGCAAAAACTATTTCGTAATTCGAGGACTAATTAATTTTATAAATTACAACTGGGTGACTGAAATACCTAGTTTGAAGAAAAAAAATCAGCAATTCGTGTTTTTCTGATTTGAATCATAGGGGAGGAAGGGCTTGTCAGGCGAAGCCGTAGAACGTGGTTTGCCAGGGCTGCCGGGCCCCAAGGGTGAGCCAGGAGAAGGTGGACCGAAGGGTGAAAAGGGTGAAAAGGGAGAGTTGGGCATTGCAGGTACGCAACATTTGGCAAATGCTGAATAAATGATATGATTAATGTCCGAAACGTAATTCACTTCCATGAAATAAGAAATAATATACTGGTACCCAAAATGGAAATACAGGCAGATGGTTACAATTTTATTTTTCCATTCAAATTCTTTCCTACATTGAATTTTTCATTATTTAAGTGCTGTCAAAATTTTCATTTATAGAAATCCAAAGGAAAGAATTTTGAAATAATTTAAATATAAGTACACATGTATTTTATTGCATAATTAATAGTAGTAAGCAATTGATCTGCCTTGTCTATTAATTACAATAAGTATATTTCAGCCCAACCTCAAAAAATTCAAAATAAGGTCTCATTAAATAAATATAAATAAAGAACTGATACAGAAATATTGAAAAATGTTACATGACTCAATCAAGTGAATTGTGTACAGCTTTGTTAACCCTGAAAAAGAAGAAAATGTATTAACAAAAACACAAATTAAATCTTGTTAAGTAGTACTTTAAAATATATGAAGGATCATAGGGGAGAAACTCTGAGTCAAGAACTCAAGAAACTGAAATTGTTGAAATACTGATGTCATCTTATAGAGCATTTAAATTACTTTCTTGCAATGAAACATACACTTAAAAAACAATTATGGTCAGGAGATATGTAAGCAAACACGGCATGTTTGATGCAAGAGAAAAAAGAAATGAGAGTCAGTTGCGAAAGTGAATAGAACAAAGTCGGATAGTTCACATACATAAAACTGCATACCATCTGGTGTAAAAAGAAATCTTGTGTAAAAAGTTAATTTAAAAAAAATGTTTTACAAGTATTCAAATGCATAAACATAAATTCAGAGGAGAGAGCTCTGGATCAGAGAACCAACATTAAATCTCTAAGAGTGGTTTTCTCAGTTTCAAGTCCAACTGAATCATGTCATTTTCCCCTCAACCCTTCATATATATTTTCAGAAAGCAACAGAATATTTTAGAATAAAAGTTAATAGTATTCAAAATGCTTCAGTTTTGTACACATCCCTTGCTTAAAATAAATTAAATTTATACATGTGACCAGTTCACTTGATTGAGTTAGGATTTGTTTGAAATATACAAGCTCATATTACATTCCTAGGAGGTAAAGGAGACCCTGGACCGAGAGGACCTCCTGGTGAGGATGGACAGAATGGGGAAACTGGACCTCAAGGACCTCCTGGGTTGCCTGTAAGTACAGATAGTTACTATAAATGCAAATGCAAATTTTGGAGGATCAGAATGGCCACCTGATAGTTTTGCTATATTCCACAAAGGTTGGACAAAATTAATATTTAAAATTGTATTTGATAAGGTTTTTAAAAAATTAAAAAAACAAATTCTTCATAAAAAATACAATAATTTTTTTAAAAAGTTTGTTAAAGTTAGGAAGTGTGTTAAATAATTCTCTCATTTCAAGGAACATGTGAAAGAAGCTTTCCTATTTGAAAATTTATCAAAAGGAGTTCATAATCTTTTGTAGTCCCTTTTGTGAATGACTTCAGAAAGAGAAATTTTTGAAAATCTCAAATTATTGATGTGATAATTATATATAAAAATGTGAAATGAAAACATACTTTTAGTATGAAAATCATAATGTGAAGAATGTATTATGTTTTTTGTAGAATCAGTTTTCATAAAAAATTGGGCAGAATTCCATTCTCAATCTGAGGTTTTCTTTTCTTTTGATGATCGCCATTAAATGTAGGCAATATATGAGAATAACCATATATCAAGGGTTGTCAATCTGTTACACATTTCATCATTGCAAGCAGTGTGAACATATGATTTCAAGTTCCAACTTGATCTTGCTCTCTGTGCTCTATATTGTTAAAAGCTCTCACCCTATCTCTCTCTCATCACATCCAAGTCCAGAGTTGTCTTCATTCAACAAGATACTTTTTAAGCTGTACTAAAAACAGCATGATACATAACAGTGATCACCCTCTTGTTAAATAGTCCCATTATTTTAAATTGGTACTTGGAGAGGTAGCTCAGAGCATCAACTGATGTTGCTGCAGTGCCTCTAGGAGATCCTAGGTTTGAGTTCTGATGGTGGCAGGATTTTTGACATTAGCTAGGTCGAGTTCAGTCGCTCTCTGGATGAGAATTCTAGTGGCTGGCTGCTCTGATTGGTAGTTTTCCGTGGTTTCTTTTATCAATACTAGGTGAAAACCAGAGCAGTACCCTAATAAAAAAAGGCCATGGACCATGTGCAATCTTTCCTTCCTCTTCCATGCCTTATCCTCACCCCTTACTTATATGCAGTTACTTACACCACTTACTTACACTAACATGCACTACACTACCACACTCACCATGAGACCAGTCCGGAGCTTAGAGCTTGTTCCGGCTGAGGTAGTGCCCTGCTGATGGAGAGATTCTTGGTGGAGGGAAACTCCGCTAGTCGACGGTGGGTCAGTGTCAGATCTCACTATCAAGTGGGGGAAGATCGGTGCCATCTTCCGAAGAAAACATGCACTACACTTACGGGACATCGAATGACCCTTCACTGTTTGCCCAGAATTACTAATCAATCAATTAAATTGGTGCTCCAATAAATCAGTGTCTTTTCTACTGGTGTGTATTAGTTAGGAATTATAATGTGATTGAGTTATCCCTTATTCCTCTCCTAAGTAAAATAGATCCTATCACTATCCCTATTTTGCAACCTCAACCATTAGCGAAGGTAGAATGTGTTTGGGTTGTATGGTGCATCTGACCTGGTATATGAAAAAATTGATGGATGGTATGTTGAAGGTTCCAGCCATGTATGATGATAAATTATTAGATTTACATCATACTCAAAATAGATGAAAGCAGTGGAACAAACAAGTTACACATATTTATTTTGTTTAAAAAAGAATACATTTTCTTGAAAAGAGCCTTAAAATTTCTGCAAAAACCAGACAAGATTACTTCAAGATCTTTGTCCCATCTTTGTCACCATGCTCACAATTAAAATGGTTGATCAAAAGATGAACATTTTTTCATAAACATTTCATAAATGGTTCTCCTTTTTAAGAACATCTTTGATGAATACACAGCTTGAAAATGAATTATTCATATATATCTTTTTGGTTTATAAGAGAATACTTGTTATTGATGTGATTGACTATGATGTAAACTTTGTACATGGAAAACCCAGGAAAGGGAATGCTCTACTGATTTAGTAGAAGGATAATACCTGAATCAGTATTAGTTGTTTGGCTGCCCTTCATTGTGTCGTTGAGATAGTAACCAATATATCAGGAGAGAAGGTTTTGAATTCTACATAAGTCTTGGGTGTTTTCATTGTTTTTGAGGCATGGTTGCCATTTCACAGCTCCTTGCAGCTCATCTGCAATTGCCATTGATTCATTATCGTCATCCTTCCCAACGAGAGGTAAGAATGGATTCAAATGGGCAAACACAAACCTTAAAGGCTTCCAAAACACCTTAAAGAAGTAAAACCTGTCTAAAAAGAATTTACACATTACTTAGGGATGGAAGTGCTATGTGTCATGGAGTGAGCCAAGTAAAGAATGGGAGAGTAAGGGAATCTAATGACCTCAGGAAAGTACCATGTAGGAAGCGAAGGATGCAGGATGCAGGTCACTTAAATGCAAAGCCAAGAAACAATCTTAAATAAAATAAAACAAAGATATTAATTCTCTAACTCAGAGTTAGGAGTAGGTCCTTCAAATGAATATATGTCAAAAATAAAGGTAGCTCAAACAATCAATAGTATTAAAGTACATATGTTTATGAATAAGAAATTTAAAAATTCTCAAATAACCTCTTAGGTGCACCATTTTAAAATATGAACTATGTTTCTAACAAGAGTTGTAATTACTACACATCCAGTGGCTTTGCTAAGAAAACAAAGGTTTAAGGGACTCAAGTGAGACCCTTGAAATGACTTTGTCAGCTGATAAAATCCCCTCAATGCTCAAAGAATAAAATCAGTATTTTTAGTTTTTATAAATTATTGAAACTTTTAATTCCAATATTATAAAGTCTTTATTAACAAATAGAAAGACTTAGAACTGCTTAATGAAATTGGACTGATTATCAAGTTTTCAATTTAATTTTACATTGATTTTGGGATTTTACAAGTTTTCACCCACCATTGCAATGGAATGGGAAACTGAAAAGAGCTAAACTGCCAAAAACTAATAGAAGGTACAGAAATATCTCATTTTATTGGTTACGGCCAAAGAAACATAACTTGAGTCAGGGCTCAAAAACAATCAAGGGCCTAGGATGTACCATTTTTGAGTTACACATGATAAAATTGTGTAAGTAACATGTTGTGGGTTGCATACAGGCCTGCTGATTTCATTAAAGCATAATCTACAATTCAACATTTCATAAAACTCTACCTTCTATATCTATACAATTTTTTGGAACATCCCTATGGTGAAAGGGGATTTCCTACCTAACAGTAGCAAGTTTACAGAGTTTTGTGTCAATAGAGACATAAATTCTACAAAACCTTAATTTATTCTTAGCACATTATGTGGATAACTAACACAAGTCTGTACCTATTACTATTTTTGCCGCAGGGACATGCAGGACCTAAAGGTGAAAAAGGAGAATATGGAGATATAGGACCACCTGGCCTTATGGGTCCTCCAGGGCTGCCAGGGCCTCCTGTAAGAAAACATTTACTTTAAATTAGGATTATTGCAAATTATCTAATGTATTACGTCACATTCAATAGATTTTTGAAAATCAGGAACTTGCATATTTTTTCTTTTACAGGGTTATCCTGGACAAAAAGGAGAAAAGGGTGAAAAAGGAGAATCTGTAAGTATAGTTAGTGTAACATAAACTCAATAAAGTAAAATTTAGTTATTTCTCTCGCCTATTACATTGACTTCCCTCCCCTTTCATTTATGACTATGTGGACAATAATTCAAAAAAAGCTTTAATAGTCTTATTTCAAACGAGAAGATGAGTCAATAATGAACCCTGTCATGTTGATCTCTCTCTTTGTTTACATAAGGAGTTACTGTTTTATTGTTTAGGACATTTATTGTAGAACCTCTCTTAACCATATTTTTCCTAACCCTATAATTTTATCTTTCAAGGCTTTTCGGATGTTTACAAAATAACTTGATGCCATCACCATATGGAATCATTTTGTAAAAGTTCTAACATTCTCTTAAAGCCAGATCTACCCATAAACACGTTGCAGTCTTATTTTAGGATCTATCAATGTAGAGAACGGTCTTGAATTCGAAGTATCATAGTAAATGTTGAACTAGTGCTTCAGAAAAAAATTAGACTGTCTGTGAGTACAGGAGAAATGGCAAGAATAAAAAATGTTCAAAATAATTATGCCTTAGCCATAGCTTAAAAATTGAAAATATTTTAACACAAAACTGAAAAATATCTTTGCAATGTGTTACGAAATAAGGGTAGCATTATTTCTTAAATGAATAAATTTAATTATACATAATTATACTTAAATTATACATTTTAAAATTTCCTTTCAATTATTTTGCAATTTATTCAGGGGTCCAGAGTTGTCCCCCCACCCTGAGTACTGCAATGACATTGTTACTTGTAAATGACTGAAATGACCACCTGTTTCAATTTGCTCTGAAAGTATTCATCAGAAACATCTTGTATTTCATTCAGTCATTCATTTATTATCTTTTAGTAAATGAAGATCACAAGCGAATGTGTTGGGCTTTCTCTTGTAATTAAAATGTTTCAATAACTCTTTTAAGTACTTCAGAATTTCAGATGTTGGATAAAAGTTATACCGTTAAGAAAAAACATTATATCCAGATTTCTATTTAGAATTCTCTTTAAAAAGTATTAAAAGAATTATAAGAAATTAGTTATTTTAATTTGTGGATATATTTGATGGATTTTTGAGGTTATTACTTCTTTTTGTTTCATGTTCTTCTCATCAGAAATACAAGAAACTTCGAAGACGTCAGGTAATTAATTTGACATATTTAAATTAAACTATGTTATATGTATAATTTTATTTCTTTAGACGATTGATAGTATTCTTCAAACTTTTCAACAACTGAATTATATGAATAACACTCAAACAAGTTCTGACAAGAAATAATGAAAAAAAATATATTTTTGCAGGGAGACGGAACATTTGAAGGAAGTGGAGGTGAATTTGTAAGTATAATTATATAAAATATTTTCTTTAAATATTAGTACTCAGTTGAGGAAGAACATCTGAAATAAATAAGAGCCATTCTGGATTGACTACATTTCTATAATTTTTAATAACAATTTTAGTGCAAGTATTATTTTCAAAAAATATTAAATAACTAATTTGTAACTTTGGAATATTTGCAATATCTTACCAAAACGCTTCTATTTCTTTGTGGAATTATTTCTGAGTAGAAGTGGCATTATATAGGAAGCATCCTAAACTTTAACCATATCCTTATTCCTTCCCAATTATGGCCGATGGGTAGATGATGCAGGTCATGTGTAAGACGTGAGTACGAAGATACAACCCTTTGGCAATTTCCTGACTTGACTACCCAGCAGCTCCTAGAGGGTACTGGGTGATTAATAACGGAGGATTACTCCCACTAAAATTAACAGAGGATACTAATTAGACGCAACAAATTAAAAATAAAAAATAAAAAAATAGGAGATTGCAGACGAGACTGACATTATTACAAGTAATACCAAATGCCTCTGTTTTGAAGAAGTAAGGACATTGATAGTAATTTTCACAGTAGTTTTATTGCATTTTTTATAATCATTTTTCAACTTATTTTAAAAGAATTTAGACAAGCAGTTTCCAAAATCTGAAATTTGGCAAACCAGATATGTGCTTGACAGATGTCAATTCACAAATATTTTATATTTCTAATGTTAATACGATGTCCCGCAGTGTTTCTCAAAAGTATTTGTAACTGTTAAGTAAAATGAACACTGTTTATTGATTTAATGCTAACTTTTCAATCATATAACACAAAACTCTCTTCTTCAAACGTTGAAAACACAGCACACAATATAATTTCCTGATAAGTTTTAAGATCCACTTCTTTAGGATACCTGACCAATAATTAGTTCATCAATATCAACTCTATATATGTGGGAAACTTAAAGTAGATATCAATACCATGAAAAACTGCTCCAGTTCTCTTAATATTCCATACTCAAAAAATAATTTTTTGAAACATCTCTTTGTTTCTGCCAACCTGAACCATTTTTTAACTTTCTTGTATCTTCTATGTGGTAAGAGAAAGTTGTGTAATGCTGCATGAAAAAGTGCCAATTTTTCAACCAAAAAACACATTTTGATTCAATTGAAAATAACACCAACACCACAAAAGTGAATTTTTCTTGATCTCATATGTATTGAGTTACTTTCTTCACTGTGGAGGGAGTGTAGACTAAAATTATATTTTGTGAATCCTTGATACAAAAAAAGTGTTTTTTTCTTAAAATATGTCCATATGTTCTTCTTTTTGCCTGAGTGTTCATCCTTCTGTCTGTGTGCCTGACTGTGTCTTGTGAAAAATCCTAGTGTTTACTTCTTAACCTTATACAAGATTTTCAGCAAAATGGATAAACTTTGGTTGATTTGAATGAAGTTGTAACCTTAGAATTTGAAACAAATCTTGTAATTTTTAGGGATGCTTTTTATAAAGCCCCTAGGACATTTGAAATGTTCACAAAAACGGCTCCAAATAGTGTCTTTAAATTATTTCCTCAAGTAAAGCAAAGTGAGCTTATAAATATGAGGGCTAACTTTTATCTGTGAACTTGCGATTTTAATACTTTTGAAAATTGCAACTTATAAAATTGCAAATGTGAATCTCCCATACTTCTTTTACTGAAGAGCGAGATTCATAAGATGAATGAAAAACAAAAGATATAATTTCCAATACAACAATAATACATAACTATTACAAATAATACAAGAACGTATATGCTGGTGTGGCACCACCAGTTTTTTAGTTATGAATGATAATTTTCTCAGTAATTAAAATAGCTTCATACAGAGTAATCTTGACATAATCTGACATCATTGTGTTCTCAGGTATCATTTGAATTATTAAATTAGATCATTCTCTAATTTTCTTAAATTATATTATGAAATTAAATTCTCTAAAGCCCAGGACTCTGGGATATTGATCAGGTTGTCCCCATAGTAGTTATGGCCCAGTTTTCAAACTCAACAGAAAATGTGGAAAAATTATTTAGTGATACTTTCAATGAACATGATGGTGTAATTTTTTTCCCCCCTTAATATCCTTATTCCTACCATCTGAATGAAAATGAGATTGGAATATCGCAAAAAGTTCATAATAACGTATTTTAATAAGAACATTCTGGGGAAACATTGGAGCTATTTGTAAGAAAACTATTAAGAATCATTTTAAAAATCTCCCTTTCTTGCTCACTTTTAGACTGAAACTTTTAAGATTTATTAGAAACTTCATGTGCACATCCTTTCAAACTTTTGTATCCATGATTGCATGAAATGATAAAGTACACCCATAACATTAGTAAAGTCAGTTTGTCCTGAGTCTGTAATAGCAAAACCGTTCACTTTTTAAAACCTTCATAACACCCTAGATATATTTTTTCAGATTGTTGGCCCCCCTGGTCCACCTGGCCCACCGGGTACAGCAGGACTGCAAGGCCCTCCTGGCATTAAAGGGGACAAAGGAATGGATGGTACCAAAGGAGAGCCTGTAAGTACAATTATTTCAAAATTTGATTAGCTTCTTTTAAGGATTTATTACAAAAAATAATACTATTATAGTGAAATATAATATTGTTAAAATAATGAAATTAAAGTTTATAATCAATGAAAATGAAATATTGGTCGCAAAGAATTTTAAAACATTCTTAATAACTTAGGATATTTAGGATATTTAAAGACATAAATAATAAAACCCTGGATTTTTTTTTCTGTTTTTAATTTTACACCTTAGTTCAGTATTCTTAATATACTAGTGCCCTGCAGCAGCAAAAATATGGCAGAACAAACACACAGAATGGCATTTCAAAAAGTAGTATGTACACTGCTCAAGAATAACAAATTAAATATTCTCATACAAACTGCAATAAATTAAATATTTTAACAAAAACAGTCTTCAGGAATACTGAATTATATAATCTAGATGAAAATTAGTAATACAGAAATGTTATATTACATATTTTGAAAATGTTTTTTTTCTTTCTTTCTTTCTTTCAGTGCTATTATTCCTTTTTATGTTATTCACATTATAATAAGAAAAAATATATTTTGGATGCAAAAAAAATCTTTATCGTGAATGTTTTTCCTGTTTAGGGTGAAAAGGGAGCCAAAGGAGATCCTGGACCTATGGGGTTGCCAGTAAGTGTATTTCCAAATATATAAATTTGAGGGTTTATATTATTCTTAATAATTTTTAGAATTTTTTTCAGTTATTAAACATTAAAAGAAATTACTTTTAACATTTGTATTTTATGTAAATGCACAATTGAAAAAAAAAATTATTATCAGGAGATATATTATCAGATTATACAATGTATATCAAATAAATCATTGTTATCATCACTCATGATAGTACCTCAGTATACATGGCCACGCTCTTTAACCTGTGCCGAACAAGCTCAGTAACTATTAACTTAATCAATGTCAAGGAATTTGTAGCTTTCCCATCTTGTTGATCTTTTCTTCCTGTTGGCTTATACTTTAGTATTAGCGAAGGTTAAGTATTGTTCTTAGTTCATTTATGTGCCATTGACAATTTTTTAGTATTTTTCTACTTCTCTTTTTATATAATTAAAATTTGAAAACAGTCAAGATTATTGACTTTTTAGAAAGAGATGAGGTCACTCTCTCTTGAATCCAATTAAATATAAAAACAGATAATTAATGGCAATTATCATTCACTCACATGTGTAACTTGTTTCTTATAAACACAAGGTAGTATCACATTGCATTTTCCCACGTAATGTAAAATGTCAGATCCATTATTAACATATTGTATACCTGATAATCATATTTCATATTACAGGTGTACAATGTTAACTAACATAGTAATACATCAATAAAAAGTTTTATACATACATGAACTACATAAAACAATCACAAATCTCTCAGGCTATTATAGGTTAAAATGGAAATGTATGCAGCCAGTTTAAAGTGAAAAACTTTAAAATTGTGAAAAATGTTACCTTTACTATTTTTCATGTAATAATAATAAATTAGGTGCCAAATTGGATGTTTATCACACAATAAGAAACTCATATTTCTGTCAATAGAAATATAAAGGAACAAGCGGCTATTCAGATAGCACACTGAAACAGTTTCAAATATGAATATTGAAAGTATTGAAGTTGATTTAAATTTGTTTATTGTATTGAGTTCAAGAGCACCTAACCTACTGAAGAACTCATATAAGAATATTCCAATCTAATTATTTAATATTTGAAGTAAATTTTTGTCTTGCTTATGGCACACAGGCAAAGAAATGGTATTTTGTAATGGTAGTATTTGAGAATCACATGGTATTTATCATATTTTTTAATAAAAGTTTGAAGTTATTTAACTGACCAATTAACAAACATCTGCAGAGGACTAAAGACACACATTTGCAATGTAGTTAAGAGATAATCTTTTACAAAAAGGAAACTACATTTATAATACACAAATATAAAATGTTATCCACAGTACCATTAAATATCTTCTACTTAATTTCTTCTGTTTGACAGGGCCCAATGGGTCTTCGAGGAGAACCTGGGCGGGCAGGGGATTTGGGCAAGATGGGCGCTATGGTAAGATCTAAACATTCATAAAAAAGAATAAATATGTGTTTTGACACACAAAAAGAATCACTAACATGACAGAAAAAGCAGACATGTAAATTTGGATATGTTGAAATCCATGCTCATAAATTTGTACTATCAGTGTTTTTGAATGATAAAAACATTAAACATGATGTCTTTTTCATGGGCTATGATGCATCTTATTTCATATCACCTGCATGCATCACTGTTTTGAAAGTGTAACATATAATACTGTACAATGACAAGTGTATAAAGGGTATGACCCTTAACCACAAAATATAGTGTATTTAAAATGTTCCAAATGTGTAATTTAATGACAGGTGGAGTAGAACAGTTTTAAAAAGTCTGTATTACTCCATTTCTTGGAGAGGAGATATGTCAAATCACTGCAGTGAAGAATTGTAAAAACAAGAGATACTTAAGAAAGCAAGGAAGAAGAAATTAACAGAGATAACATTACAAATTGTCTGTAAAACTTATATAATATACAATGAGAGCATGGTAATTTATGTGCCAATACTATTAAGAAAAGACAAATACATTTTCCCGTGTAACAGACCCAGTGTAAACGGCATAAGCTCCTCCATCAAAATGGACAGTACAGTAATGTGTGATGCTCTTGGCAATTTTGCCATAAGCATACATTAAATAGAGCAAAAGACTGCAAACAATTCTTTTAAAAATTTAAATTTGAAAATAATAAACATCTTTCTAATATATGTGAAAGCTAACTAACTTTCTAGGCATGAAAATATGTGTGAAAGATCTTAGTAAATATCATATAAGAAGAAGTTTTTAATCAGATTGCCTTCCAAACACATATCTCATTTGCCTGCTAAATATTATTTCATGTAAAATAACAAATCATTTGTATTTTCGTCGTACGGAGCTGAAGCAATGCATGCATATCAAACTTATTAACAATTGTATATTGTTTAAAAATTTCATATTAATTTATTCATTAGTTACTTAAACATTATCACATCTGTTAAATCTAACAATCTATATATGGAGAAAGATGCAACTTTTGAAGTTTCATCAACATCAACCACAGGATTTTTCTTCATTCTAATTGAAAATACAGAAATGCAAAACCCAAAGGATCATGACTTCATGTACAGACACGTATTGGCAATGTAATTTTGAGAAAAATTGTCTTGCAACAATAAAAATAATCATATACTTTCCTGACTTGACTTGCAACTTGATTGTTCTTATCAACATTGCAACATGGTCTTCTTTGTCATTCAAAAAGTATTTATACAAAATTTAAAACAACTGGTGTTTGCCATCCTCTATTACTAAATAAGTTCAGACTGAAATCATGAAGTAACATTTATAGGCAGAGGGTAAAGATTGTAACATAATTTAATTTTGTCACTACTTTAAATAAAAAATTATGTTTGTTTTAGCTTCCTTAACAAACTTACTAATAATTGTAAGAGTGTCTACCATAAAAGCAGACAAAAGTAGCATAATAAATCTTCATTATTTGACTTGTTATAATGGGGATATATAAACAAGTTTTATTTCACAGCAGTCATTTCAGGATTTTTATATACTTCATAATATGTTTTACATGTCAGAGTGAATCATTTTAGTTGGCAAATACACATAACATGAATAATAAAATCAAGGTAGTAATATCTTTAATAAAAGAAAGAACTACTGCAATTTGCACTTCTGTTGATACAGAATGAGCAAATAGTTACAATTTATGGTGATTCTGTGCATGACTTAAAATGTACATTCTTGAAAACTGTCCTGTATATTTTTAACAGAATATTGTTATAGAATTTCATATTATTTCAAATGTTATAAAATTTGTTTTGTGTTCTCCAACACTCATTAGAAACAAGTATCTCATGAAGTTCATTTAGTGGAAATAATATTTTTTTTTTAACATATTTTAAGATGTTTATTAAAGATTAGGGAGAAAAAATAAAAAGTTTAAGTTTCCACTTTGATTCAAAAAATAAAACTAGATGTATTTTATTTGTGATTTTACATTAAATTGGCCATAGTAATTTTTACATATAATTTAAAATTTGTTTAAATTTAATATTTTATTTTAATCTTTTAATAATCATATTTACTAACACAAATGTTCAAAATTAAATCTAATGTGCATGTTGGAAATTCCTTTTTTTACTCTATCTTCTGGTGTTTTGTCAGCAGTGAAAATTATTCACTATTTGCAATAATTTTCTATTGCTTATTGTAATTAGTATTTTAACAATATTATATAATTTACATTAGAATGTTGCTTGAACACTGATTGTGAGTAAAGTAACAGAAGAAAACAAGGAATAAAATGTTTTACATACTGTGAAAGGTGTCACAAAACCTATGTTCATAAATGTTTCTTCAGCTAATATGACTTTCTGTATATTTAAACCAATATTATAATCCTTTTCTGGGTGAATGGAGGAGTTCTTTCTGATGTGTTTAAAGTTCTAACAACTACCTGTAATGTCTTAGTGTATGGAAAATGTTGCTTGGGAAAATAAATTTGTGTGCATGTGGCTCTCTAATGGCTTTCTATGCTCATTGTTGCCTGATGCTGAGAAACAACTAATTTGCCTTTCCTGAATGCAAAATTTGTGTCCCTGTCCTCAGCTTTTTCAGCTTTCATTTTCTAATTTTTCAGCGTTTTCTTTATATTTACACATGCATCTGCAATTGCCAATGGATTACAGAGACAAAGGAATGCCCTTTATTGACAAAAAATTCAAAGTAATGTTTTAATTCTCAATTTTTTGCCTCTGACTTATTTAATAAAACCAATTCACTTTTTGAATCGGCCAAATATATCAAGGATATTCCATGTCTCTGATATTAACAGTAATAATGAACTTTTTTTATAATATATAAATGCAAATTTTATGGATTCTGTTCTTGTCATGCACAAGCTCATTAAAAACATTCAATAAACCTTAATTGATATTGTACTTTTTGTTTTATGAAAATGTTTCTCTTATTTAAATAGAAAATGTGTTTTTCACTGCTTCATTGTATAAACACTTGCTCAATCTTAAAAACATCAAATTAATATTTTTTTATATTTATAAAATGCATTAAAATGTTAATTTTATAGTTCGTATCTTAAAGACCAAAAATAATACATATCATAGCCATAAAATTTGTTTGTGACTACAAGAAACAGAATCTCATACAATTAATAACTTTATTATTTTATTGCTGTCACCACCATACTATGTTTAGTATGTGATACTTTTTTTTTCTTTTCACAAGTTAGCACCATTTGTAAATATTATTTTGCATTGCATTTGTGGTCATGTTTGTTTTACCTTTTCTTATTTTAATATCACTTTATTTTCATTTATTTTCTTCCCCTTCAGGGACCACCTGGTCTTGATGGAATGAAGGTAAGTTCACATTTACATTTCAAATACTACATTTTCATATGTGATTTGAAAATATAATTTATTAAGAATGCTTCAAAATAAGCAAAAGTTTGAATTTTGAGGGTTAAATTTGTGATAGGTATTACAAGTATAAAAAAGTATCAAAGAAGAGCAGTGTTCCTAGAACAATATTTGCTCTTTTATTTTCTACAGAACATTTTCTACAGAAATGTATTAATTGAGTGTAAATCATGCAGGCTTTTTTTCCCATCATTTGAATTTCACTAGTAATATGGTTTTGATTTTTTATTTACAAATAATTTTTCTGAAATAATATATAAAGCAATTTAGAGCACTTTTTTATAAAATGTTCATATCTAATTATTAACAATACTCGGTTCATTTATCATAGACAAGATTGAAGGCAATTGTATTGCAGGTAATGCTACATTGTAGTAAAGACATATAAAGGGTTCAAAAGCACTAGAGACAGTTTGTTCACAATGATACCCTGAAAGGGTACAACCGGTGTTGTAATTTACCCACTTCACAAACAGAAAATAACTTGTGTTCAGAATTTTACTGACTAACTAAAGCAGAAGTTAAAAGCACCATAACTTCCTAAAATTCCATATATGTTATTCTAAGGCAAGTATGATGTAATAAGTTGTCATCACATTTGACAGAAAGTATAGTATCATCTCTGAAATGTGCAAAAATGAATATTTTAATGAGAACGTTTTTGAACTTCAGTTTCGCAGTAGAAAAATATATGTTGAAATTAATAATTCCAAATAAATTTAAGTTTTTCAAAAGTGTAGAAAACATACATAGATGGACAAATTCATTAATTATTTAATGGAAATACCATATGCCCTAAGAGATGTTTTAAATTTGTCATTTTCTTTAACAGGGTGCGCAAGGAGAACCAGGAAGCAAAGGAGAACGGGGAGACCCAGGCCTTCCCGTATGTATGAGAAAGGATAGCACTTATCTCTTGCCTTCATTGTTGATTAACAGTGTAGAACTTGCAAATTTTAACCCTTATGTTAACATTAATAACCCTTTAACAGAATTTGTGAAGTAGTTAATTTTTTTTTTCCATACATTTTACTTAATATTTAACCTGTCAATTTGCATATTTTCCCTATTTATGAAACATAGTATCTTATTATTTTTTATGTATTGTATGCATATGTCTTTAATGTATGTAAAAGAAATATTATTTATTTTTGTTAGTACATTATTATGAGTTCTGTGTAACCTTTAGGAACACATTTATGTTCTTAGAACTACCTTCTTTCCCCAGATGTCCTCCATAATTCACAGACAAACTGACATTCATTTCAATTTAATTTCATTATAAACAAATGAAAATTATACATGAAGAGCACATGTTATATTTAAAATTTCAGAATCTTTGGATCTCTAGTTGTAATTATGGGTAATCATTTAACTCATGTAGTGCATTAATTTAGAAAATAGGTTTAAAAATTAATGTCAGAAAGATATAAATATTGAAAACTTTCACAAAAGTAATGCTTTACCTAAAATGAGAAGAGAGTTGGTAATGAGAATTAATAAGCATGATGGTTCTTAAACAGAATTTCCTAAATTACATTTGAGAATTATTCCACGCTTCATTTTGCTTTTCTTATGAATGTTAGAATTTTGGAAAATTTGGAATTCAAGCTAAGTAAATTCTATTCACATATTCTCTTCCTTACATTAGTCTAGAAATTTCAGACAAATGTGTTCACAACAATATTGCATTCTCACAATAATTATATATATATATATAATATATTATATATATATATATATTATATATATATATATATATATATATATATATATATATATATATATATATATATATATATATAATATATATAGTTATATATATATATATAATATATATATAATATATTATTTTTTTTAAAGACAAATAATATTTTTATGTTGAGTTTATGGGAAGTAGTAGTACTAAAAAGTTATGTTGTTCCTGAAGAATCTGAAAGTTTAAAAGAACTCATTTCTAAATATACTCTAAGAATGAATGGTTTTAACATTATTTTGAATATTGAAGACATTACTACAATTTGCACTAGTTCCTTCACTTCATTTTTATTCACTTTCCCTTCAATTTTGATGTAAAAAGTATCAATCGATAGCTCCAAAACTAGTATGCAAAAGTGAAATATAATACATTAATTACAACTTTTGGTTATTTTAGGGGACTGATGGAATTCCTGGTGCAGAGGTACCCCAGCTTTGATACTCATTAACCTACCTTTCCAACTCTGATTAACTTGCTTTGTGTTGTTTCATAATTAGCTGTACATCGGTATGTGATGCTTATGGCTTTTAATTCATTATTAAATCAGTTCACTTTGCATGGCAGACACATGCATGGTGGCTGCGAGCATGAAATAAAATCCCAAAATGTTTTTTTCATTTAGAATGTAACATATCTCTTGCAAAAGTTTCCGGACACTTGATAATAACACTTAAATTTTTTTTAATGATTAAAATATCATTAATTTTTTGGAGAATGAAATGAAAAAATTCAAAGATTAATTTTATTACAATTAGATAATATAGATAATACTTGAAATATGAAATATTTGAAAGAAGTACCAACAAAATTACAAGCCTAGTATCTGTGGATTAAGCATCCAAAAACTTTTGCTTGGCAATGTATTTTATCAAGTTCAACAATACTTATGTTGGTCAAGGATTTGATTTGTTGTAACCTGTTTAAAAACCATGGGTAAGCTCAAAAAACAAAGCATAATATTTTTCAATTTTTATATACAATATTGTTCAAATTAATGTAACTACAATAATTAGCATGAACATTGAAACTATATTTAAAATACCAATACTTTAAATGAGATAAATTCTTAAAATATTGAAAATTGTGTATCAGATACATAGTACATTGAAATATACTAATTGATTCAATTATCCAGACTTAATTTATATAATGATACTATTTCTTTTTGTAGGGTCCAAAAGGAGAAAAAGGAGCCAAAGGAGAAGCTGTAAGTTCAAATTACTCTTAATAGACGATTTACAGTCAATATCTCCTTCCTCTCTCCTGCCCTATGCCCCATCTCCTTCCCCTCCCCTGCTTCAGCAACTCAATTGAGCTTATTTCATTGACTTAGAAAAATAAATGTACTTAATACTGCTAAATATATTATTAAGCCTAAATATATTATTAAAATACAAAATAGTAATGACATTGTTTGCTGGGAGCTGTTTTAGATATCCTAGGGGGATTATCATTGAACAGTATTGGTATGGTCCAATTTTTAAGTCACCTTTGCAATGGTGGAGACTATAAATTAATCACCATTATACAGATATAAGGAATGTAGAAAAAGTTGGTTTGTCCAATGACTCAAATAATTTTTTTCATGGAGGAAATTAACAAAGGCACTATTCACATGGTTTACTTTCTATACAAACATTTACTTTGTTGTTATTTTTATTATTGTTGGATGTATTTCCCCTGGCATTTGATAATGAAAAAATATAAAGCAGTGATCTTAAATTAATTCTGGATTGAACACAGGTATTTAGCAAGCATATCAGTAAAGGAACTGCCATATTAGTCTTCTGAGATAATTTTTGGCAATAAATTATGAATATGTTCAAACATTATTAATAAAAACAAAAATTATACTTTCAGGATTGTTATGAAATAATTAATGATAGTTATATTTCCATAAATGTGATTGACAATTATTAACAAATGGTATTTTATAGAAGTATTGTGCTATTTGTAGGTCTACAATGAAAAAATATACAAAGTAATAATACTACTTCTCAGCAAAATTTTTATTTTTAAGTATTTTTATCAATTATTATAATATTAAAAATAGAGATTCTTGAATCCATCTTAACAAAACTAGAGCAACAAGCTTTCAGCAATTTCTGTCTCTGTATGGTATGTAGTAACGAATGAGAAATGAATAGAAAATACAGTCACAATCGGTTATAAATTTTTGCTTATAGATAAACTCTTACAAATTCAATATCACCATTGAGCTCCTGAAGTGAGGCCCTAGTGATTACAGTAATGATCTTAAGATCTTTTGTGAGAACATACATATTTTTCCAAAATATATATAGTTTTCGAGTAATTTTGCATGAAATAAAGGCAATAATAAAAAAAATATTTTCTCAAAAGTGACTCCAAATTTGCTCTGTATACTTTTTAAACAGAGCTAAATGCACTCAATTATTGACATATATACCAGTCTGCATTCGTTTGTTTTCTTCAAATCTTACACAGGTTTTTAAAATTTTTTTTATTTCTCATGTTGTTAAATTACAGACATTTTCTAGATATGATTGCATTTATGAACACAAATGCTTCAAATTATTTCATACAAAATTTCTCTAAAACTGAAAACTTTTCTGTGAAAATGAGCCCAAAATTTCACATTTTCAGAAAAGTTGACATTTTCTCAACAATGGCTCCAAATTTTTCAATGCAAATTTGGAAAATATAGCTATTTTTTACTGCTTTATAATATTCTTAAAAATATTTTTCAATTTTGCCACTTGGGGAGCAAATAATTGGGGGAAATGTTGTTATGACGCTGATAGGTAGCAACAAGGAACAGGGTTGGGCAGTAACAAAGCTAGACTAGACTAAAGAGATTAGAAAGCTAACTAGTGCAAGAAAGTCTGTTCCATTCTGTAGCAGTGCTAGTATTTCTAATGAAATCTGTTTTTCAATATTACATCATGAAATAATGTCAATAAAAATCTCAAATTTTTAGAATTACAAATGTGAAAGATCAACTCTATTTTTAAAGCACCAGGAAGGTTGCTTTAGCCTATGAGGCTGGTGGTGAAGGGGTAGCGTGAATGGCATACTGAAGGAAAGATTGAATCCTTGGCTTCGGGGAAATATATTCTCTGGTTGGAAATGCATTTTTGAGTGTTCAAGTAGTTGTTTGGAATTACCTTACTGTTACAGAAAGTAGGAGAAGGTACATGCTATTCTATAGAACCTTGAAATCTGCATCAATTAAACTGACTTTGATATTCCGAGAAATTTAATCTCACAAGTCTAATTTTTTTCTGTCTATTAATAAATGCTAGGTAATATTAAAATCTTCACCCACATACAATCCATGTCTATAACACTGTCTCACCCAGTTAGGAGCTGGCTTTTCAATATATGGTTCCAATATGAACCTATTTTCACTTTCAAAACAATGATTTCCAAGTGTGGAATGTTCACACAGGTCTAACTAGCGAACACAAAAAGAAGGGCAGGGAAAGGGAAGAATCAGATGATGATTTCTCCAGAATTTGAGCGTGCTGTTAATGCATTATCTCAAAATTATTATTAAGCACTGATTTATAAAAGATTGTCCTATTTTTTTGACACTAGTTTTGTGGTTTTTCTTTCCATTAAACCTGAAATATTCATAAGCTGCATGGCTTCTTTTAAACTGATTATATTTGCAATTATGTATGATTAATGAATGTGCTGTTGTAATTATGGAGAATGCGAATAATAAAATCATATTAAATATTAAAAAAGAATACATAGAATATAAAAGAAATATACATAATACACATATATTCTTCCTTATTTAATCCCACATTGGCATCACTTGCGGCTTCGTTTTGAAATACATAGTATTTCTGAACTCTGATAATGTGGAACTTAGTAGTTCACAATATCATGGGCCTTTTCTTTGCTCAAACAAAGACTTATGATTCTTGACATTAGATCAAATGCAGATTGAAATTGGCCTTACTGATGAATCTAATTAACTTGAAAATTCTTCTACAGCTAAACATAATTTGTAATGACAGGTAAAAGAGAATTATTTTTTGTGACTGAGTGACTTTATGTCAATTATTTGATCAATTTAGGGCCCCATTGGTAAAAGAGGTCGAAAAGGAGACAAAGGAGATAAAGGTGACCAAGGAGTACCAGGCTTGGATGCTCCATGTCCACTTGGTCCAGATGGACTACCACTTCCTGGATGTGGATGGAGACCTCCAAAGGTACTGTCGTAACATTGTATGTTTCTATAAATATGATGTTTTAGTGATTATCCCTATGCTGTGCATAATGCCTACACCAGTCATATGTAATTATTTGAATTTTGTAGTTTTTAGATGACTTTTCTAATAATAATTTCTACATTATTTTTATAGGCAAATTCAGTGTGTTTACTTTTAAAAATCTGTACCTTTTGAGTGTTAAAACTACTCCTCTATCTAACAATAAATCATATTGCATGCACTACCTCTACAACAAACTCAAATAGTCAAATTCTCAGTGAATATTCATACATTTTACCATGTAACATTTCAAAACATGAAATTCATTAATGTTGGAATTATATTTTCAAAGAATTTGACAAAATGGCATGATATACATCAGCCAGGTTATAATTTATTTTGTTAAAGAAAATGCCTCAAAAAAATGTAATAAATCACCCCTATTTCAAATATTTGTTGCAAAACAAAATATTACTTCAGTTGCAAAGTTGAAAGGGTCAAAAGTTATAATTTGGCTATTCGAGAATTCTAATGTGTATTTCATGTGCTTAATTGGAGAATTTATGTTGCAATGCTTATGTCTGCTCTTCCCCAATCAGGAGTATTCCCCTGCTCTCACTACAATGTCAACCCCTCCCCAGTACTTCCCTGCTACTCCCGATGCACCCTCAGAAAGTGATTATGATGAGGCTGAAGAAGAATATGAGGAATATACAGACCCAACTAACTACCATGCGACAAGTTCCGCAGGAACATATTAATACACTGGAAATAACCCATTGTTACTAACCTGGCTTCAAGGTTCTTGGGTAAGTAACTCAAAACTGTGAATGAGGATTCTCTTTGCTAGTCATGGAAGCTCTTTCTTAATTTCTGAAGGTAGATAGTACTTCTTCATTTTGCTTTACATATTCTCAACTAATAATTATACATTCCCATTCCACATATTAGCAGTTCCATATAGTATGTTGTTCACAAAGACATAACTGCACTTTTAGATAGTTCTCATTCTTCAATTAACAATAATTGTATTATTGTTTTCTTTTTCTTTCTCACATTAACTTCCCTCTTGCCTGCTTGCCTTTCACACATCATGAAGCCCATGTATGTGAAATGCCATTGTCAGTTGAATTAAATGAAACAAATGTTGATGTATATAAAAAAGGCAATTTAAATATTTACATAATCTGTACCTTTTCTATTGAGTCCCTATTTTGAAATTGGTCTGCATCAGTTTCTTCAGATATTGTTTCTTTCATGAAATCAAATTAGAATGCCTGTTTAAAGAATCAAGAAATAATTATGCTATATGAAGAGGGAAACACTCTCTGTCTACATTAACCAGAAAAACTTAAGAATTTAAGATAGCCTAAAGATGTGGAAAGACCGTAGCATCATTAAAAAACAGAATCCTTTCCTTAAAAATATTATCTTAATGAAGATGATTGCAATACAGAATATTTACAAGTAATGGTTTAACATAACTTTAAAAATCAATCTCAATATGAATGAAAGACAATTTAAATGTACTGTAACGAGAAAAAAGAGGAAAGCAAACTGTGTTCTCCTATAAATTTTGACATAAATGGTGATAAATCAGTATAGTGAGAATAAAAAGTAAAAAACTGGAGATACATATATTCATGTCTATTTATCTGTATTATAGAGTTTTTAATAATAATGTACTAATTCTAATATCTTGGAAGTATGTCTTAAAATCAGGGATTGAAAAGTGCCGAAGAAATTGCAAAATAAAATAATTCATGAGGACTTCAAAAAAACCTGTTTTACAGAGAGAGATGATAAAATGGTACAAACAAGAAAAACTTTTGTTCCATTCCTTAACTTTTGAGGTAAAAAGCAAAACATATTGAAAACTGAGTCAGTTAAAATTGCTTGTCTCTTCTTGAAAAATGACTCACAATGTTTTTAATTCTCTTAACAATTATACCTTTTCAATCTCATAATCTCTTAATTTTTCACTAAATTCAGAAGAAAAAAATAGTATTGAAATTTAGATGTTTTTCTAACGCAAGAAAGAAGATTCATGTAGTAAACTTTATAAATACAAAATTCTAAATACCTATATACCATCATTTTTTTCATTAAAACTTGTGAAAGAAATTAAATATTGTTATGAAATTATTGTAGTTTATTCTAGATGGAACCCATCAATAAATCTTGTTCTTCTATTGGTAATGGCTTTGTTCTTGGGGCAGCAGTTTGATGCTTTTGAATAGGCTGCATTTAAATTAAAGGATATGTGTCACCTGTAAAATGATCTCAATGACATTTCAGCATGTTAATTTCCTGAATTTGAAGTTATTATTACCAAAACTGTAATTACTTTCTCTGAAATCATGCATTACAACTTCCAAATATACTAGAAATGTTTCTGTAACTAAGCTCAAATAGGTTACATAAGTCATTTTTAGGTTAAAAATAAGTCATAAGAATGTTTAATTACTGGTGCATGAAATTTTTATTTTTTGTAATGTATTATTTATGCTTTTGCACGATTCATGTGATGTTTTAATCATTTCAGTTTAATTTCAAACAAATATTGACTATTTTCAGTTACTTGCTTATTATTATTATTACTCAACTAGACAGAGATGTCAAAAAATTAAAGAGAAGAAATGTATGGAAAAAATATTGATTCATCAAAACCCAATTAAATATTTATTAAAAGAAATAAATGTAAAGATGCTTATAAACAGCTGTTACCTATTAATCTGTTTTCATTTGTTTTGTATTTCTTTTCACTTAAACTCTTTTATTCCAGCTCCTCAGAAATGGAATGTGCTTCATTTTTTTTCTAAAATTGTAGGTAAACTCTCTGAAAGGGTAAATCATAGCAAATATTTCATAATTTAATATGTTGGAATGAGAAGATATATTAAATGTTTGGTTCTATTAGAAACAGAGAAATAACTGAAAAATCAATGGACAATAAGGAACAGCTACTATTAAAATTAGAAAATTTTATTGCTAATGGAGTTTTTGTATCTTTTACAGTCCATTCTAAAAGAAGAGTGGTTAAAGCGAGAAAGGAACTGAGAATCTCATCTATAGACACTGCCAGCATTACAGTGCCAAGAAAATTAAGTGTAAATAATGTACTTATACATTACAGTGTACAGAAACATGCTTAAATCAAGATGTGTTTTTTAATAAAGTGTGAAAGTATACTGACATTGCGTATTTTGCAAAACTGAAGATGACTGTAGCGAATGTGTGTTGAATGTCACCATGGGTACTTGAAATGTAGCCGTAGTATTGTGTTGTCTTTCTTTTAGGTGGTGAATATGGAGTGTATGTCACTCCTAGGCGTATCAGGCTCAATTCATTTGCTGAAAAATATTTTGATATGAAAGTAATACTGTAATTATAATATTATAGCATGACCTGTTAAACTTAGACAATTATGCAAAAATTAACTCTTGACAGTATTAAAAGCGAAAATGCTATCCAACAATTCAGAAATGATACATTTTAAATACTTCATCTTTCTCTCAAAAAATCATATTTATAAAATCAATTAAATTATTATGTTGTCACTAGAACAACAATTATACATTAATTATACATTATTGTTATTTTTTTAATGTTTAAATTAATTGCAAAAAATTAGTAGTGTCCAAAACTATTTAATAATTATTATTTTACTCATGCATTTTTCAGTGTTCTCACAGATATAACATTTCCAATTTCAACTCAGCTAGCATATCTGCATGGCATCTAATATCGGAACGGAGCAGTCATTAAAAAACAAAACCCAGATTTGCAACTTATTCTTTGAATCTTGCACCTGATAATTTTCCTACTTCAGCTTTTTTCATTATTCTGTGAGAACAAAATCATTATAGTATCATAGTACAGAATATGTTTGTTTAGTGAGAATCAGATATTTATAAAGATGCTAATTAATTATCATTAAAAAAATGTCTCCAGAAAAACTTTTGTTCAGCAGGTTCTGAATTCTCTGAAACAAAATTAAATTCAGTGTATGCTTATTAATGCTTTAAGGGATAAGTTAAATAGTTGAAACCATATAAAATGGATAAAATTCACAATCAAAACATAAATATTTCTTTAAAAAATTTAATTAACAATAATAAAAAGAACCTTAATGTTTTGGTTGTTACACATACCAAAATAAATGTTTCATCATCATAATATAGTTTTCTGAAGTAATTAAAGTTCAATACCAATTCTGAATGTACTGGTTGTTTTTTAAAATTTATTTACATGGATAACAATTTTAAGTTAATACATTCCTTGCAAGTATTGAGGAATTTCAATTTCTCATGCATCATTTTGTTCACTTTTCTCTGAATACATTCAACTTTTTTCACATTGCAATTGACAACCAAAATTACATTTACAGAAAGCAAATTTATTGATCCTATCTGTAAAGGTTAGGATACAGCCTTAAGAAAAGTAATTATGAAAATATATTATGATGACAGACACTCATGTTAACAACTTAAAATTAAATTTCGTTGAAACGAAGAAAGGAGACACATGTGAAACAATGAAAAGGACTTTATTTCAACTTGTTATGTAAAAAGTGAGCTACTGGAAATCAAAAACACTAAATATTTCGAAATTGAATAAAGCAAGAAAACATTCCTCTATTTTGTCCTCTGACTACAAAAATTAATTTTCTTGAAATATGATAAATGAAGGTAATCATGCAATACTTTAATAGTTAAATAACATTATTATATGTCTTTAAATCAACTGAAAGGAACTTTTCTTGTTTTATTTAATTATCGTCTTGAAGGATTTACCATATGTAAGATGGGTTGAATAATTCAATCTCATGCTCATGTTTTATTTATTGAAGTATATCCTATCATTATAAACATGAATTTATAGTTACTCTCTGTGGTCTTCCTCTAAAAAAATGCAAGTGTGTCTAAAATTTGTTTCTTTGTGCTTTTGTATGTTGAAATGAGTCTTGTATTTGATATGGAAGGGTCTTCACATAGAATATATCCAAGATGTAATAAAGTCTGGATTCTTAAGAGTTGAAGTTTTGTGTAATAAATTTTATATGTACATACAAACAAGATTTGTTCATACATGAATTATTATTGCTCATTGTATTAATTTCTGTTATGATAATCTGCAGTGGCAGCATAAGGTTATCTTGAGCTCCGTTAGAGAAAACAATCAAGGGAGTCCTGTCAATAATTGTGGCCACTTCGCCAATTTGGGCCCCCTCTGAAAACCCCCTTCAGAGAATAGATTTGTGAGTAAGTGGGGCTATTTTAGAAAAAGAAGTCTCTCATCTTGGGAGGGGGTGACTAAAATCAGTCTTTTGTAGAACACACTCAGAAGACAGGCTCTTTCAGAGGTAAAAACACACGGGGAATCTCTGACTTCCCTCTTATGCTGCCACTGGTAATGTGTTTCCCTTTCCCACAGAAAGAAACAAGATGAAATTCTTTAATGATCTGGCAGGTGCTCCATTGGAACTTGTATTATCAGGCTTATGCAGTGCTTCACACAGTGCACCTTTCAAATACACTTTTTATATTTCATTTTAGTAGTATCCACAGATGATAAAGACAATCAAATGAGGTCACTATTATTTACTTAGTCATTATCATTTCAATGTTTTTTACAATGTTGTTTGCGTGCATCCTCAGATAGATCATAAAATCACAAGAACAATGAATTACAAACAATTTTTAAAAACAACTTAATCATGGATAGGGTATTACAAATATAAATTACTTTTACAAATGTAATTTAACTTAAGCCAAATAAAGAAAATACAAGTTGAACAAAATAATTAGAACAGAATAATAAAATTAGAATAAATGAGTTTTTCAGAAATATTAGTACCAAACACAATCTAAAAGGGATACAAAAGGGGTAAAAAGAGATAAAATATGTAATGTATAAATAGACTAATTGACAACATTTACAAACAAAATAAAATTACATACTAATTTGAATTTACATAAATAAAATATTCATTAAAACAAATTAAAAGATACATATTGCTTGTCCTACAGGATTAAATTTTTTAAGAGTACATTTTTACTTTTTCGAATATGTGTATGGGCCTATGTACCCAGAGTAATACGTGTATAATAAGTAATAAAGAGGGTGGGACAAAACTGAAAATTAGCCCAGACCAAAGAAATAAGAAAACTATCTAGTATGACATACTGTAGCAGAAATTAGCAAAAATTATAACTTTTTTTTTTTTTCCCATAATGAATTGCATTGTAGGGAAATGATATTGTATGAAACTCAATTTAATTGTTGAATATTTGTTGATATGTTAGCTTCATAAGTATTAGTTTTTGCACCTAATGTTCTACAATATGTAACGAGTTTCGTAGATGATGACTGAGATGTGTGAAAAGGGACAAAAATTGCAATATAATAATATCACATAACTGTTACTAAGGGCGAGAAAGTATTACCTTCTGTTGAGGCACCACTTGTTTACTTTCTCACTATTGCTAATGCAGTACAGAGAAAGTATTCCAATGCGGAAAAAAACGTCAGTAAAAATCTTGTGGGAGCCCCGGTAACGAACAAGTGGATAAATGTCGTTCATGTACTTGTTTACACAGCATGTTACATGAAGAAAATTAACTCTACTAACACCAGAGGCGGGATTTCGGATCTTTTATTTAGGGGGGGGGGGTCAAAGGGTTCCCCGCTTAAGATGGTAAAAAGTTTCCCTAAACCAAATGGCATATGAATAGTTACACAATAATTCTAACATAAACATTCTATTTTTGAGAGATTTCCTAGCCCCGCCCCACCACCCACACTCCTCCACAGCCAGAAACTTTTTTTTTAATCTTTTTTATCCGATTGAAAAAATGTAAGATAACAACATTTTTTTATGTTTTCTCCGCGCCCAATCCAAACGGAAAGTTTTTTTAATAACATTTATTTTAAAATTTACTTTCATAGAATCCTGGAACAGTCTTGAAAACTATCTCAAAAGTTCTTCTTAAAACACAAAACGTTCACATTTTTTTATCGCTGAGCTGTAGTTTATAAGGTAAAAAAACATTTTTACTATTTTAATCCTAGATTGCAATGGTGTCGTCTATCAAACGTCACAACTTTTGCTGAAAGCTTCTCCCACACCCTTCCATGCCCTCCCCGTTTCTGAAACTCTAGCTATTCATTGGTGACACTCTCTGTTGGTGACTAGCCAGTGAAATACACGTAACCTTGTGCGCGTGCCTATATGATATAAAAGGGTTATTTTGCAAATTCAAAATGTTAAACGCCGTAAAATATTTGCAGGTGAGAATGATGCTGAATTGTTCGAATTTGTAAATCTACACTTGCACAACTACGTTTTATTCTTCCCCGGATTTGCTTAACACTTCCGTATTTGTGTTCCCCAATTTTTGAACAGATTAAAACTCTACAAAGTCAGTCTAATTGTGTTCACTTCTACTTCTGCAATTGCTCTATTTATCGTTTTGGAGGTGAATCTATATAAACATTAAAAGGCAAATTTGTTGTATGTTTATGTGAATAAGGTGTTAGTTTCTTTTTAATAAGAATAAGTTGGTACTCACATTCATTTCAAAAAATCGGTATTTGCGCTCTTAAGAATGTAAATTTGTGAAGTCGAACATAAGAACTTTAATGTGCTTCTGTAGCATTACTCATGGTTTGGTTTTCTCCCTATTTACCTTAAGTTCTTCAAGTTCAATACTATTCGTAGGTTTTTGCAAATGAAGTTTTAAAAATACGTTAATACGGGTGCAAATTAAATTAAGTCTGCCACGCGGTGATTCAGTTGTCGCATTCAACGTAACATACGTAGATCTTTTTGAGTGATATTTGAGTGGCGTCGGTTTAATTCCCGGCATACTCGCTAAAACACGTTTTAGGAAATTTATTAGAATCTTCTGGTCGGATCTGAAAACAAATGATCAGTTCCCCACGACGAGACCGAGACGCGTGGAATGAAATCTCATGCGTTTCGATTGCTACACGGGAAGTGTCCTAACCGTTAACAAGCTATAACGTATAAGTAAAAAATTTTAAAAAAAGTATCTAATCCAAATTTAACGCTATAAATTATGTCAGATGCATGGATAAATTAATTCTGTTTATGAATTGGAGAAGGAGGGAGTTTTTTGTTTGATATGCCCCTGGTTATTTGTACCTAACTACCGAACGAGGATGATTTGAAATTGTTCAAAATTGTCAAATTGCTTAATGCCTCCGCGCCGTCTGGAGCTTTTAACAACAAAGTGCCGCGCGTGAAGGATGGACATTGTACCTGAAAGTTTCCCAAACAATTTGCCCAAGAAACTTCTGAGCGGA